CGTGGCATGGTTGTTGGTGCCAGACGGGCTGCTCTGAGTATTTACTGGGATTTTCAGCACAACCATCTCTAGGGTTTACAGAGGATGGTCCCAAAAAGAGAAAATATCCAGTGAGCCAAAATGCCTTGTTGATGCCAGAGGTCAGAGGAGAATGGCCAGACTGGTTCAAGATGATAGAAAGGCAACAGGAAGTCAAATAAGCACTGGTTCCAACCAAGGTGTGCAGAAGAGCATCTCTGAAGCAACAACACCTTGTCCAACCTTGAAGCAGATGGGCTACAGCAGCAGAAGGCCACACCAGGTGCCACTCCTGTCAGCTAACAACAGGAAACTGAGGCTACAATTCACACGGGTTTTCTCACCAAAACTGGACAATAGAAGATTGGAAAAACCACATTCAGATGGAAGCATGGATCCATCCTGCCTTGTATCAACGCTTCAGGCTGCTGCTGCTGGTGTAATGGTGTGGGGGAGATTTTCTTAGTACCAACTGAGCATGGTTTAAACACCACAGCCTACCTGAGTATTGTTGCTGAGCGTGTCCATCCCTTTATGACCACAGTGTACCCATCTTCTGATGGCTACTTCCAGCAGGATAACGCACCATGTCACAAAGCTCACATCATCTCAAACATGACAATGAGTTCACTGTACTCCAATGGCCTCCACAGTCACCAGATCTCAGTCCAATAGAGTACCTTTGGGATGTGCTGGAACGGGAGATTCTCATCATGGATGTGCAGCCGACAAATCTGCAGCAGCTGTGTGATGTCATCATGTCAATATGGACCAACATCTCTGAGGAATGTTTCCAGCACCTTGTTGAATCTGTGACACCAAGACTTAAGGCAGCTCTGAAGGCAACTAACAAGGTGTACCTAATAAAGTGGGCAGTGAGTGTACATGTGCAAACATACACAGTCAGTCTACAGTCAGAGCTGCCTGCAGCCAAAGCGAAACCACCCATAATTGAGGGTTGCACCACACAGCAATTAGATTTCACAACTAGAAATGTGAATGAAGCTCAACAGGGAAATACAACACATCTCTGTCACCTCTGGGTGCAATAACAGTCAATACAATGTGTGTGTTGTGCAAGGGCAATTAATGAGAGCTCTTTGCCCTGAGGTGCAGCAGCCAGCAGCACTGCCTCCGCCTGCAGCAACATAAACCAGCACATGTGGAGTAAAGGACAGGATAGTTTTGTGCAAAATTCTGGATTCAATTTAATTATGTTGTAAAACTATTGCTCGTCTTTATAAGCCAAAAAAAAAAAATCACATTTCAACTTCTGAAAACGAAACGAACATGTGGAGATTTGCATCCATTTGCTTGTCAGACACAACATGGCTGTTAGACTGCAAAAACTCTCCCTTCTTTTCCAAGCTTTTCCTCTTTGAGCTCATATGATAATGAAATGTGATACAACTCAAATTATCCTGCTTTGTTTCCACCTGTTACACGTGTTAATATCAGGAGTAACGCCACCACACCGACCTGTGATCAAGGAAGTGTCCTGTCAAACCGCTGTAAGGAAGAAGTAATAACACGTCTTCATTTACTTCATAGACAAAAGTAACGTTAACCTGATCAGAAGGCACCACCTGACCTGGACATTTGTTGCACTGCAGCACATCTTGTTACCAACAGGTGTGAAAGTTAAGCAACAAACTCGGACACTCACCATTTTGTCACAGCAGCAGGAGAGATTCAGATCCTTCAGGGTTATGATGTCACAACCACAGAGTCCTGTCCTACTGTATCCTGCGCGTTGTGAGATGAGGCGACATTTTTGATCTTCCCAGAAATCAGTGCGCTCACACCTTCTCCGGGCAGAGCCGCGCCCCGCTGCGCTCCTGATTGGCTGCAGGGGAGCTGCCGTCAAACACAGACAGGTGAATCAGTGCCGGGCTGTCAGTGAGGAGATGTTGAGTTTATGTAGCTTATTATTGTCTAATATATCCAGTTTGGGGTGTCCAAGGAGAAACTGACAAAATACATGTTCACATTGTGAGATAAAAACCCAACATTTTGAGTTGTAACATCAGTATTATCAGATGATGGCAGCCATGAGCTTCTGTATTTAATATGTCAAATGTTTTTCTTTTTCTCTCTCTGTCTCTGTGGTCGAGGTGGGCGTCTTTAAATCATTTACCATAGTAATCCATCTAATTGTTTTTAATAGTTTTTGTGTATAGTTTTGTTCTCTTCCAGATCATTTAGTCTGTCTTCACCTGACAATGTAAATATTTCAATGTACTGACACTTGTTGTTTAACTAAAGACTACTACCTTTGATTTCCAGTAAACTGAGCTCAGGGACTGCTCGTTATGAAGGGGTGGTGAACAACTGAATAATTTTTATTCATGCAAAAAAAGTACAAAAAAATACAAGAAACAGCAATAAATAATAATAACAATAATAAGTGAGCAATGGATTAAAGTGAATATTGTATGTGCAAATAAACAACAACATGGGGGACAACAATGCTCATAGTGGTGTTTATAAAGTGTCCATGGTGCAGTTTACTGTGAGCAGTGCTGGTTATGTAGCCTGACAGCAGCAGGCAGGAAGGACCTGCGATAGCGTTCCTTCACACACTGGGTGAATCAGTCTATCGCTGAAGGAGCTCTCCAGAGCTTATTTCTCCTCCTGCAGAGGATGGGAGTCATTAGTCCTCAGAGATGATTGCTTGGCTGTCATCCTCCTGTCTCCACCTGCACAGAGTCCAGAGAGCATCCCAGGACAGAGCTGGCCTTCTTGATCAGCTTGTCCAGTCTCTTCCTATCTGCAGCCGAGACGCTGCTGCCCCAGCAGACCACTCCGTAAAAGGTGGCTGATGCCACCACAGTGTCAAAGAAGGTCTTCAGGAGCGCCCCCTGCACTCCAAAAGACCTGAGCCGCCTCAGCAGGTACAGTCTGCTTTGGCCTTTCCTGTACAGTGCTGTTATGTGATTAGTCCAGTCCAGTTTATTGTTAAGATGAACACCCAGGTACTTTTCAACTGTCAGTCTTGGTTCAGTTCTCTGTACTCCCTGTCATCCCCATCTGTGATGAGGCCGACAATGGCAGAGTCATCGGAGAACTTCTGCAGGTGACAGGTGGGGGTGTTGTATGAAAAGTCTGCAGTGCAGAGGGTGAAGAGGAACAGTGCCAGCACCGTCCCCTGTGGGGCCCCCGTACTGCAGACAACCAAGTCCGATACACAATCCTGGGTCCTGACATACTGCGGCCAGTCCGTGAGGTAGTCCAGGATCCAGGATGTGAGGTGATTAGCCACCCCTATGTGCTCCAGTTTGTCCTTCAGAAGCGCAGGCTGTATGGTGTTGAAAGAACTAGAGAAATCAAAGAACATGATTCTCACAGAGCTTCCAGGCTTCTCCAGGTGGGAAAGAGCTCTATGCAGGAGGAAGATGACGGCGTCGTCCACCTCAGTGCCAGGCTGGTAGGCAAACTGCAGCGGGTCCATTGAAGGGCCTACTGCAGGGTGGAGACGAGACAGGACCAGGCGCTCCAGAGTCTTCATGAGGTGTGATGTTAATGCCACCGGTCTGAAGCTGCTGAAGTCCTTGGGGTGTGGAGTCTTGGGCACAGGTACCACACAGGATGTCTTCTACAGCTGTGGAAGAATGAGGTCACAGATACAAGAGTCCAAAATGAGTTTCCTCCGTGGGGTGACTGGGCTCAGCCTTAGAGATAGGGTGAAGAGCTCGGACATCTGGAGGGAGCTCGGAGCAGAGCTGCTGCTCATTTGCATCGTCAGTTGAGGTGATTCGGGCATCTCATCAGGATCCTCCTGGGCGCTTCCTGTTAGAGGTGTTCTGGGCACGTCCCACTGTTACGAGGCCCCGGGGCAGACCCAGAACACGCTGAAGGGATTACATATCTCGTCTGGCTTGGGAAGGCCTCGGGGTCCACCAGGAGGAGCTGGAAAGTGTTGCTGGGGAGAGGGACGTCTGGGGTGCTTTGCTTGGCCTGCTGCCCCCGCGACCCAGCCCCGGATAAGCGGATGAAAATGGATGGATGGATGGATGGATGGATGCCTGCTTTTGTGTATTTTACAGTTTGCTTTTGTTAATGAAGCACTGCATCGCATCACGAGATGTGCTAGCTTAGATGATCGCTTGTTTAGGTTATGTTTATGAGCTCTCTAAATTGTTTATCAGACTTGTTTGAAGGAGTAATATCATGAATGTTTATCTTATAAGAATTGAGTTTAAATATATTTTCCTTTGTTGATTTTCAAAACCACACATTTACTGTCAGTGTTGTAAACTTCCTGCATTTGGAGATTAAAGTATCCTCTCAAACTCCACTCTCTGGCCCAAATCATTCACTCCATAGATGTCCAACTCAAACCAGTGTATCCCTGAGGTCCTGACGTCCTCACACTCATTGCAACAGCTCCAATACCAACATATTATGTGGTACGTGAAATAAAATTAGAAAAATAAAATTAAAAAAGTTATGGTGAAGGAAGTGACTCAAGAAAAAATACTTTAAGCTTTGGGGAGGGTCAAGATTAAAAAAACAAAACAAGTCACACCTCAGCCACCTGCGTCCTCTGACAAGTAATATACAGTCCCTAACTTTAGCTAAATTTGCAGAGGACCTGGAGCCAGTATTTCTTAGCTTTTCCCTCATTGTCTGCCTGCCAGGTTTGTTTTACTGTACATGAGTTTATATTTAATGTCATATTTTGCCCCTTTGAACTGTACACCCGTGGGGGCGGAGCTGAAGCTGTTTACCTGGGAGATGCCACCACAATAAAAGGAAGTGTACATAAAGTAGGAATAAACGGCACGAGTTTGACAACGTGCTGTAAATTCACTTTGACAGTTTGGACCACACATGTCGATATAATATGTTCATGATGTGTGTTAATATAAGCCATGTGAGGTGTTGCATCCTTCCTGCCGCCGCTGGGGGGCCGCAGGACGTGCTGTCGCCTACTGATGCTGATCCAGAGGAGCTCCACGTGGTTTGGGTCCAGGGTAAAAGCGGAGCAGAGAGCTGAGCTCAGCGAGAGGCTTCCAGAGCAACACCATGTCTCTGTACCGCAACTCCGCCTGGTTTCTGAAGGGAGTGACCGAGTTCACCAGGTAAGATAAAGTCTTCATCTGATCTGTGTGTCTGCTGACTGAGACTGCACTCAGGTGTGTTAGAGGATGGAGAGAGGCTGTGTCCTGCTGCTGTGTCCTGGGGGCATCCTCCCTACTGTATCTGTGTGTGTGTGTGTGTGTGTGTGTGTGTGTGTGTGTGTGTGTGTGTGTGTGTGTGTGTGTGTGTGTGTGTGTGTGTAGGGACATTTTATTATCATTAATTCAGATCAGTACACAGTAATAACTTTTCTGGAAACAGTAATGCATCATAGGATGTAACTGGAAAAAATTAAGAAACTCAATATGGAAGAAAATTTAAAAATTGAATCAGAGCTGGAACGATTAATCGAATAGTTTCCATCTATTGAATTAATTGCCAACTAATTTGATAAGTTATTAATCAATCCATTTTATTTATTAGTTTTCATATTTAAGAAAACATAGACAAAAGTACATGAAAACATTTTTTTCCTCACACCCTGGGAACAAACAGTCAGATTAAATCCAGAATGAGATAATAATATGCCCACATAAAAAAAGAAACTGAATAAAATAAAACAGACAACCTCACAGCTGTTCAAGCAGATATGTGATGAAGGGTTGACGTACCCTTCTAAAATTTGTCCTGAAGTCCTCGTAAAGCAAACTTTATCTTTTCCAGCTTCAAAATATTGTAGTGTGTCTCTGGATCTGAGTCATTTTTTAAGGAGAAAATAAGTCAAATTTCTCTGATTCCAGCTTTTTAAAACGTGAATCTTGTCTGTCCTCGTTTCTCCTCTGTGACAGTAAACTGAATATCTTTGGGTTGTGGATAAAACCAGTTTGTTTGAGGACGTCATGTTTGGCTTTGGGAAACACTGACTGACTTTTTCACCATTTTCTGACACCTGATAGACCAAACAACTAATCAATTAATCATGATAGTGAAAATAACTGTTAGTTGCAGCCCTAGATGAAATACTTTATGATGTAATGGCTAATAATATCTCCTAATATTAAATTCTGCTTTTTTCTTAATGAATTTATTGTAATTTTATTTCTGATTCAACTGGGAGTAAACATCACAGGACACTAAAAGATAAATGTTCTGATATTTAACATTTACAGGCACCATACTCTGCAAAATAAAACTAGCTATAAATTAAGGCTTTTTTCCATTTATTTACACAAACATGATAGAAAATACAGCTAAAACAGTTGAAAAATTCTGCAGAAGACGTTAGAAGACAAATACGAAGGTACCTCCCCTATTAATTAACAACAATCATACATTAAAGAAAAAGATAAAAGCAAGGATTGCACAACTGAGCAAGAGTTACAGACTAAGAAGTGATACACCATTGTTAGAGATGTACAATTTACACAAAAACAAACAAATTCAAATGAATCAGTGAAGTGCTAAGGGAGTTCTTTTCAGATGTTTTTCTAGTTGTCTGTATCAATAGATCCTAAGAGATTTACCCACAAGGCCCCATTTTCTGCCCTACATATTATAAGAGGGCCCGAGGCCTCACCTCACGGGCCCCAGTGCCACCGCCCTGCCTGCACTGTCCATATTTACACCCCCGAATGTGAGGATGTGCTGCTTTTCTTTGCTTCGTAACATGTTTGGCTCTTTGGGCTGTTGATCGGGCAAAATAATCATTGATATCAAACAAGTGTGTGCAGGTGATAAGAGGTTTGGTGAGGTCAAAGGTTATTTAAGGGCTGGAACTTTGAAAGGGATAAGATGAGGTTTTGACCTTTTGTCTGCTGCTACATCAGTGAACAGAACGTAACGGCAGCACCGCTTTGAATATTATTGATTTTTGATTTGAGCAAACTTCATTGTGACTCAGCAGGAGCCATGTAAGACCATACATCTGCTGCTCAACCCCAAAGAGGCCCTAAACGCTTTATCAGTCCTGATCTGATCTATGGTGGCCCTAAGGCGCCTTTCCTCATCAGCGTGCAGCACGCCAAGTTGTGTGAAGAGGTGCTTTTGTGATTGTTTCCCTTCTCCCCTTTGTTCTGTGTTATCTTTTCTCCCAGAGAGCTGCCCGGCAACCCGCTCTGACCCTACACTAATAGCTCTCTGCATGACACCATCGAACAGAGCGGGCATTTAGCCTCCGACTTACCCCCCGCCCTGTCCCTTTATCCCCCCACTTCAACCGCCCTCAACAATGGCATCCAGGACAATGGGGGGAATTGAATTCCTTGGTGCTACACATGCTCACACACACAAACGCGCACACACACCGATCCTGTTGTCACCGTCGGTAGTCTGACCCCAAACCCCTTCTCACCAGAGATGATGCCAGGCACACTCTCGTCTTCATTGTATCTGTACAGTAAAGCTGTGAGGACACGTACAGTACACAGGCTGACCTCAAACACTGACCCGTTCTGAACTGAACTAACACACACACACATACACACACTTTTTCTCTCCATTTACAGCCCTTTAATCTCAGCATCACTCAGCTGAGCCCTGAGGCAGAGCTTTACAGCGGATGCATGGATGCATTAAATGTGCAGATGTTGCTGACATGAATATAACGCAGTTGATGGTCATATGTCTCACAGGAATGCCTTCCTGTCAGCCTCCAAGAGGTTCGTGGAGAAGGACCTGGAGGTGTCTGTGGCTGGACGCTCCTTCATGATAACAGGAGCCAACAGCGGCATTGGGAAAGCTACTGCCATGGCCATCGCTAAGAAAGGTGCTGACACTACTACAGATCAACTCACATCCTCCTCAGACACCAGCATTAGTTTATTTTTCATTAGTTGGACCTGATAAGTATAAAAAAACCTAAACATTTTCTTTGAACAGTGAGTAGTTTTGAAAAGACGACGATGTCTTCATATGAAGATAATGGGTTTATTATTATTATTATTATAATTATTATGAATAATAATTATAATAATATTAATAATCTTTATTTATAAAGCACTTCTAAAACAGAGTTACAAAATGCTTTACATGTCAACAATTTAAACAGACAAGACAGAGCCTCTGGGCCCTGACAGGAAATGCTCTGTCCCCTTTAGTTTTCAATCGGGCCTCTGGAACAGGCAGAAGGACCCCAAAGTACGTCCTGGTGTGTATGGTACTAAGAGGTCAGAGATTTAGCTGGGAGAGAAACCATGAAGAGCCTTAAAAGCAATCAGTAAAATCTTAAAATCTATTCTAAAATATACTGGAAGCCAGTAAAGAGGCTGGCAGCTGGATTCTTTACAGTCTGGAGTCGATTAAGACATTTTTGATTCAGGCATGAAAAGAAGCTGTTGTAGTGATTTAAGCATGATGAGATGAAGGCGTGTAAAATTGTCTCTGTGTCTTTAAAAGTCAACATGTATTGTAGCTTTGTGACATGCAGTTCAAAACTTAAATTACTGTCAAACCAGATTCGAAGCAGCATGTTTGATATTATCCACTAGGGGACCAGCTGAAGGCAGAATTTGTTGAGTAACATGCTGGGGCCCGATGACAACAATCTCTGTTTTTTTCAGCAGAAGAAAATGTTTTGACATCCGGCTTTTAACATCAGTAAGGCAGTCATTGAGTGAACACATCATTCAAGGGTCTGTGGCTCTAACAGGCATGTACATATGTGTATCATCTGCATAAAAATGAAAAGAGACACCATGACTCTGAATAATGTGCCCAAGGGGAAGCAGGTACAAGGAGAATAAAACTGGTCCCAGAACTGACCCCTGGAGCACACCGTACTTAAGAGATGAAAACGAAGAGAAGTGGTAATAGTCATAAGTATGTAATAAATATAAAACTGTTTATTTCAATGCCTGAACATTGTTGTGCAAGAAACTAAATTACAAACAATGTTGTGTAACTCTGTGGGTCAGGGGTCACCGTTCAAGTCTAAAGCTGTTCAAAACCATTTATTTTAACACCTGAAAAATGGCCATGCAAAAACTAAATTACAAATAATGCAACATGTCAAAAAGCCTTGTGATTTTTTTTGTCATTTTGTAATTCTGTATGAACTTTTCTTGCTCCATACTCCGAGCTAGGAATGTCCCTCTATCTGTAGGAACGGTCTGTCACACTTGGCTGGAGGCGCAGGTTGGCTACCCCTGAACTGGCACCTCTCTAGCAACCAGTCCATGTTACATGTTTGGTCTGTACAGGGACTTGAACCGGCAACCTTCTGGTTCCCGAGCCAAGTTACACGTCACATGTAAAACCTTAAACTCATGCACAGCAGTTCTCCAACCATGGAGCGTGACAAACAGGCCCACTGCACCTCAGTCTTGCCTTTTATGACTTGATGGCAGCTGCTAACACACCTGATCTCCCACACTGTAAATGTCACACACTACAGTAAAGTATAAACATTAAGTATGTCCAGGTAAAAACCATTAGCTCCTACTCATTCCCCTTTAACAAGAATAAATGTGTCTTCAAATACTGTTTTCCTCAGCTGGGAAAGAATGACATTTGCTCCATCTCCGTCACAGGTGGAACAATTCACATGGTGTGCAGGAACAAGGACAAGGCTGAGGAGGCGAGGGCTGATATCGTCAAGGAGACGGGAAATAAAGTACAGTATGACTCACTTCTCTACAGGCAATTTAAAAACACACGGGGATAGACAACCTTCAAATTGTCTGGTTCCACAATGTGACACTGTTTATTATTCTAAATGGCTGGCATCATTACAGGAGGTCTACGTCCACATCCTGGACCTGTCTGAGACCAAGAAGGTCTGGGAGTTCGCTGAGGCCTTCAAGAGGAAGTACAAGACCCTCAATGTACTGGTGAGTTTCCTGTTTTCACATTTGGAAATATATAGTAATGTGATTATTGATTCAATTTTTTGTTGGTAGGTACTTCACTTTTCCTCTCTCTCTTACTTTGTTACTTTTTCTTGGTCTGTCTTGGATCAATAAAAACCAGACGTAATGACCTCATGTGTTGTAATCTGTGCAGATCAATAACGCAGGCTCCATCATGAGTCAGAGGGAAGTAAACGCCGAGGGGCTTGAGAAGAGCTTTGCCACCAACGTCCTCAGTGAGTCAAAGGATGGGGTGAGGTGTGAAGAAAACGATGATGAGGTAAAACGATGGGAAAGTTATGATGTTTTTTTTTTCAATCAGGTGTTTACATCCTCACCAAGAGCCTCGTCCCTCTGCTGGAGAAGAGCACAGATCCCAGAGTGGTGAGAAGTTTTACTGTGCTTACTATTTTAAAAACTTTTAGGAACAGTTAACAGACTTTAAATATTGCAGCGTAATCCATCATTTTAATGAACATTTAATGGCTGCTGGGTTGTGGCTATTTAATGGTTCATTGCAGGTCACACCAATGAGACATGACCTCAGAAATCATTCTGAAAATTAGTTAAAAAAATCAGACATATAGAGGTTTTTTTTTTTTTTTTGTTGCTAACAACACATGATTACAGACTGCAATAATATCCAATAATATATTTATTATTTCAGTGTAAAAATGCTGCTGTGTAGTCAGCAGTGGAGGATGTCTTTAGTAAAGTAAAAACAATACCACAAAAAAAAAAAACCCACTGCATTCAAAAGTAGTATTATTTTAACCATTTGAAACCTGAAATGACATCACTTTTCTTGTGCTGCTTTCAGACACCTTTAGAAAACATTAATAAAATATAAAATAAACTAGGAATAAAAGAAAAAAGCTATATAAATAAAAATATAAATGATATTTATAATTATTACTATTACATATTTAAAATTATGTTACAGAATTATGATGATTTTAAAGCACTTTTTCCAGGTCATTTCCTTGTTTGTTTTCAACTTCTTCTTTTTTTCTTTTCTTTTTACTAATTTGGTAGCAAGCTGGTGCGATTTCTTTCAACAACAAAAAAAAAAAACACTGGGAAAAAAGACAATCAGCAACATCTAAGTTTAGCAATTAATAATAAAAAAATAAAATAGGGGAAAAAATGCTAGAGGAAAATTATAATCATCTCTATTACATATTTAAAATGATGGCACATAATTATTAGAATTTTCAAACACTTTTTCCAGGTCATTTCCTTGTTTGTTTTTAACTTTATTATTATTATTTATTTATTTATTTATTTATTTTACTAATTTGGTAAATGGGAATAAAGGCAATGAGCAACAACTAGGAAAACCAGAATTGTTGAAAAATAATAATAAAAAAATATATTGTAAGAAGAAGAAATCTGGAGGAAAATTACATGTATAATTATTCTTATTACATATTTAAAATTGTGGTACAGAGTTATTATAATTTTAAGCACTTTCCCAGGTCATTTCCTTGTTTGTTTGTGTTCATTTTTTAATAATTTTCTTGTTTTTATTTTTCACTTATTAATTTCTTGCTAATTTTATGGGTCATTTCTTCTTTTGTTGCTCATTGCCTTTAAGCACCGTTAGCTGCTAGCCGCCAGCTCAGGCGCCTCCATGTTGTTTACAGTACATAAATATCATATGAAACTGGGTATTATACCATTCCCGTATCAACCTCAGCTCCCTCTTCTGTCCTGTTTCCCTTCGTCCATGTTTCAGATCACAGTATCATCAGGGGGAATGTTGGTGCAGAAGCTCCGGACAGGAAACCTGCAGTCTGACAGGGGCCGCTATGACGGCACCATGGTCTACGCCCAGCACAAAGTAAGACGTGAGATTGAGACATGCTGATCCATGCATTAAGACTCAACTGAGGAATGTAGGAAACAGACAAGACGTATAAAATGTTGGCTACATTTAAAGATGCTGCATCAAAATACTGGCAAGTGGAAGTTTTAGTTTTAGTCCTGTTTTGATTGATGTCATAGAGAGCTGTGATTCATCAAATGCCACCTGGGCAAAGATGCCTCATATCTGAGTCTATTCCATATGTTTTGTGGTGATAATTTGAAATGTGCAGCATTAGGATGGTTGGCTTAAATAACACTGACATGTGAGTGTCACCTGCTGAGGGTCCAACCTTTCTGACGTCCTCAGGATCTCACTTAAGACACATTTATGTGTGTGTGTGTGTGTGTGTGTGTGTGTGTGTGCGTTTCAGAGGCAGCAGGTGGTGATGACAGAGCAGCTGGCGAAGGCTCACACAAACATCCACTTCTCCGTCATGCATCCTGGCTGGGTTGACACTCCAGGTACCGCCCCCTCACACACACACGCACAACACTAAAAATTAGCAGCCATAACTTTTTAGACAAATTAAACAAAATCATTCTCTATCCACGGACGATCGTAGTTAAGAGGGAGCTGAGCCAGAGAGCGAAGCTTTCAATTTACTGGTCCATCTGTGTCCCAACCCTCACCTATGGTCATGAGCTCTGGGTAGTGACCGAAAGAATGAGATCATGGATACAAGCAGTCGAAATGTGGGGTGTCTGGGCTCAGCCTTAGAGATAGGGGGAGGAGTCAGACATCTGGAGGGAGCTCGGAGTAGAGCCGCTGCTCCTTCGTGTCAAAAAGGGGTTAGTTAGAGGTGTTCCAGGCACGTCCCACTGGTAGGAGGCCCCGGGGCAGACCCAGAACACACTGGCGGCATTATATATCTCATCTGGCCTGGGAACACCTTGGTGTCCTCCAGGAGGAGCTGGAAAGTGTTGCTGGGGAGAGGGACGTGTGGGGAGCTTTGCTTGCCTGGCTGCCCCCGCGACCCGGCCCCAGATAAGTGGATGAAAACGGATCGATGTCATTCTGTATTCAAAACAATCATTAGCCATTATAGTGTCCTAATACTTGCAAGTTTGTTCCTGTCCCTCTATGTCAATGTCTTTCTGTCCTAGCGGTGGCCAATGCCATGCCAGACTTCCATAGCTCCATGAAGGACAGTCTGCGGGCCCCAGAGCAGGGGGCCGACACCGTGGTTTGGCTGGCTATCTCTGAGGCTGCAACCACAAACCCCAGTGGACGTTTCTACCAGGGTATGTTGTATTACTAAAGCAATCTCTGTCATGTTCATTTACCTGCTCATCTATTAGGGATTTGTGTTAAAATAAAGAGACATAAATACAATCTTAGTATCTCAAGATTGTTAAAACAGTGAGAAGGGGAGAAGAAGAGAAGAGTGACAAATACTACTGGCTGAATTTTGTGTGGATCAGTTGTGGGTTTGCATGGTGTGTGTGTGTGTGTGTGTGAGTGAGGGTTTGGCCAGTGTCCATTGCAGCTGGAGTGGGCTGCTTTTGGTGCCAGATACTGCTAGAGAGTACAGTGCCTCTGTGAGCACACACACACACACAAGTGCACTTTAGTGTAGACACACACACACACACACAATGACCTTGGTGGCCTTGAAGGCGACTGAAGCCTCATATAAAATTCTCACTTCAACAGAGACACAAATGAACTTTATTCATCTTTTAACGTGCTGTAATATGAGGCAGTTATGTCTAGTGTCCTCTTTTTTCTTATTTTAGGCAGGTTGGTCCAGCGTCCTGTTTTCAGTGTGTGTGTATGTAATACTAGTATAAAGTGACAGTGACATGGAGACATGATTGAGGACAGCTGACAGAAGTCTGTTTGGACTTTTTTGAAGGATAGGACTTCATATTTAAAGTGTTTTCCTGAACAGCAGTCAAACTGCTTTTGCATTGCTCTACGTCAACATTCGCTAAGCCCATCTGCTGTAAGTGCTGATATTGTGACATATAACTTCACTGTTATCATAGCAACACTGATTGTTTTTGATTTTGGCATTCTCATGCAAGTTAAAAAAAACCTGGGATCCTGTCTTGTATATGTTCAGATCAAAACTGGAAACAGTATTTGCTGTCCAGTGTACAATGGGTGGGTTTCCCACTTGGTCCCAAAATGGGTTATGCTAGAGCTTCCTTGGTACCAAGTGGGTATGGGCCCAAAATGGGCGTGTTATCTGGGGCCCACTTGGGTAAACTGACCCACTGGGCAACTGGCATGGGGCTGATATGGAACTCATGGACAATCCCATATAGGGCCAATTTTCACCCCATTTACTACCCACATGAGCCCCACATACAAATGCTGGTTCTGCATCTCACACGGGAAACAGGTTTTATATTGCAATCTATGTCACACTGTGAGATGGTCAACCCAAATTTCTGACACTGTCAGAGTTTTATCCCAGGCTGTCTTTGATCGCGAGACTGTGACAACATCCATCCTTGAACCTCTCACACTGTGCAACGTAGGACCACCGTTTTAGAGCCACGACCAAAGATATCACCGTTACCGATGGTCATCTTTAATCTGGGACGGCCCAAAATTGCAGTGTATATCAGCCTTAACTCAAGATAATCCACAGACCTTGTTCTGAGCAGTTTCATTAAGGAACTGTTTTCTCTCTTCCGAACTACACCCACCAACTGTATCACTGCGCAGAAGGAAGCATGCATCTACAGCTAGCTCACCCAGCACCACTGAGCCAGCTAACATTACAGCTAAGCCGAGGATGGTGCAGTTGATGATTATATGTTGCACTGTGACAAGCAGGAGCCTCTTGTCTATGAGTAGATGCACGCTTTGCATGGTGATATGCAGGGGCGGAAATCCCGGGGGGGACAGGGGGAATCATTCGAGACACAATTAATAATTTTTGAACAATGCAGTAGTATTTATTAAAAGCACAATGTAAGCGGTGCTCACTATAATCGCGCAATAATGTGCTATTTAAATCTTAAAAGATTTAGTCCCCCCCTCCCATTCCTAGTAGCGGTATATCCCACACTCTTTCCAACGGGCGGGGCTGCTTGGCAGCAGTAGCAGCGTGTGGCTGGAACCACTTCCCACATCGCGCATCGCAGGGTAAAATGTACACTCACACAGACACAGTTTAACTTAGGCTACACAAGTTACAACACATCCCATTTACTATTACAACAAGCCCCAGGCCCAGGCTGATAATATAAACTGTCTGCAACATTTCTCCTGCATTGTTCAAAAGCCTACTCAATTACGAGTGCTGCTAAGCTAAAAGCTAATGATTAAGCTCAGAGTTTAGTGATAGAGAAAACAAGAGAGAAAGAAGAGGGAGAGGACAAAACAAGAGCAGTCAGTGGAGGAGCAATGGGTACCTGTCTGTAGGCTCTCCACCTGTCATTGAGACAAACATCAAAGACGTGCAGACGAGGAGCGGTCATTACGTGCGACTATTACGCACGGTTGTGAGGTGCGCAGCAGCAGATCTCACAGCACACTGTTTATAAACCAGTTCACCAGTTTAATTGCAGGAAATGTTTAGTTGTTAAGCCATTTCTCATAAGTATAGACATTCACTCTGCCTGTTGGAGAGATAGAGAGAAGATTAAAGCTTCAAATTGCGGTAAAAGATGCTGTATAAAAGACAGGCTACAACTTTTTTTTTCCTTGCCCCCTCCCTGGAATTATTCTCTAAAATTTTACTGTTTATTGTCCCCCCCAACTATGAAATGGGATTTTCGCCCCTGGTGATATGGTTGGCGGGTGTAGATCTTTAACAGAAAATAGTTCCTACATGAAATTGCTCACGACAAAGTCTGTGGATTATCTTGAGTAACTGGGTCATGATTTCTGGAACGAGACATTACTGTTGAGTTTTTCAAATGTATTTTTTTTTTTAGCACTTTGAGCACAAATAGCTGAGTGCCATCCTGTTTAATTATATTGGAGAGAAGGCAGACATCTCTACGGCTGATATCTCCAACACTTGGCAAGTTACATCAAAACAAATTTAGATGTATTAACAGCACTACAGGTGTAGCAAAATTGTATTTTTGATTTTCAGGTGAACTGTCCCTTTAAAAATGTCTAATATTGCTCTTAGTAAACTCTGTACAAACCCTGGTGTTTGAATCACGTGTCAGTGTCAGGGGTGATGACTGGCTGCCTCTGTTGCAGTTGGGAACGAGGGCTGACAATTACTCCAGTGTCTGCATTTCTATTTCCCTCTAAAGTAGCAGGCTGATGTTTGTACTTGTGCTTTATTGCCTCGTAAACACAGACTCTGTCAGAACTGACCCCCTGACGCCTTGTAGAAATCAATATTCAACATCAGGACTTGATTAGGGAATAGGGAATACATCACAGATCAATAGACAACTCTAACATGGACACACCTTCTTATGTGTGTGTGTTTCTGCACAGACCGAAAGATGGTGTCCACCCACCTGCCACTGGCCTGGACCCACAGCTCTGCCCTGGAGGAGCAGAAGTTAATGTCTCTGCTGGAGGACTTGGCCAAGACGTTTCAGCCACACTGAGACGGCAGGAACTGGCTACCAGCACGCCACCGACACTAACACCACCCGTTCACACTGACCGAGGCTGGGCTCAGTATTTCATTCCTCCAGCTGAAGGAACAGATCTGGGTGCGTTTTATCCACAGCATTTGAGGTGCTAACACTTCCTGTGGTTGAAATATGAAGATATACTGTGGAACCCAGCCTTAAAATGAGAGATTAAACTCACCTGTAATGTAGGGATGAGTGAGATCTGTAATGCTTTAATTTTCTTATTTAACTTTTTAAGGACTAAACATTTAATTTTATAGGAGAGTTTGATGGTGATGCTGCCTTTAAACGATCCTTATCCTGCTGATGGAGAGAGCAGCTTCATAAACCAAACACACACACACACACACACACACACCCCAGTCTGTTACTGTGACTTTAATAAAGTTGTCAATCAGATGGGAATCTGATTTGACCAAAGTCACGCACACACCCTGCATCATTAATTCACAACACCAGCTATGAGTTCAACAGACTGTCTCGTGTCTCGACGACTTGCAAACGTGTCACGTGATGTGTGTTTAATCCCTATGTGAGTAACCTGTGTGTTTGCCATGTTGTAGTGCAGCTCGTGTACTATGCAGGTTGAGCTCAGGCTGGAGGTGAAGTGCTCTCTCTGTTAGTCGTGTGCCTTTAATACTCCACACAGCAGCATCACTTGACGTGCAATAAAACCTGTGTATTTATGACTCTGTAATTTCTGCCCAGCACCTTTAAAAAGCCCTTTAACTGACTGTGAGTTGATTTGTAAATGCACGCTTGAATAAAGAAACTGTACTGATTGTTTTGTCTCGTTGTTGTCAGAAAAAAAGCAGTCAAATAAACATATCAGAATATCTTTATTAAGCATCTTTTTTTGTCTCTGTGCATCCTGGTTCGAGGGCCCAGAGAGATGTATGTCAGTACTGTATTGTCAACAAAAGTATTTAAAAATACAATTATTTTGAGAGATACATTAACAACAGCAAATGTCTTTTACAAGCATCCGAAGAGAAAAAGTCAGTTTACAGAGTTTGAGATTATGGGCCATGGTGTTGTGGGAAATGAGTCATGTTTACAAGTGTTGATGTGGCCTCTCATCAACATGAAGCCCATCCATTCTAGTGTCTGATGAACCAAAGATGACAGAAACAAAATGACCCCTACAAGTGCTCCATTTCCTTTCTTCCTGCGACCAGCCGGCAGCTCTGAAAATCTGTTTCTGTAAAGAGCTAATCCTGCCGTCCATCACACCTCTAACATCTTGACCATCTGCTGCGGAGTTCAGTCTCCGCAGCCAGAAAGCCTTTTATTACCGAACGCAATCTGTTACAAGGACGTGATAAAAAGAAATGATGAAGAAGAAGAAGAAGCATGTCCGGTTAACTGAAAAAGGAAAGGAGAGCTTTGACTCCTGATTGTACGGCAGCATCGTCAATAACCCTGTAGATCCCAGATGACGCTTAGTGAAGTGACTTTGTGTGATACTTAGGGTTGGACTGAGATCAGTTTGCCAATATTCAGGGATGTGACATCTGGGAGAATCAATGTAATCAGGATTTCACTCTATAAAGGGAGAAACTGCTGGTGTAAACTTATTTAATATTTAGACTGTGCAGAAATATACAAGTAAGTCAAAATAAAACTACAAAGTTACCTGCGTCTAAATCGCCAACAGGTTGGTAAATGCTGGTCAATACTCCACGACTCCATCTGGTGGGATGAACTCCAGCTAGCTAACTGCTTGAAAGTAAGATTATAAATTCTTTAAAACCCACCCAAATTTGAATTTCCTTGGATAGTGAATGCATGACCTGCCCTACTCTCCATCTGATTGGCTAGTACTCATTCCCTTTGGTTGCTGGGTTAGGTTAAGGCAAGAGGAGTGGGATTGGTTAACGCGCGTCAAGTGCACTAAACATGCACTGGATACGTCAGGCTGCAGCTCGTCAACAGACAACCACGCAAAGTTAATACTACTTATACTGAAAGATCTGTACTTCCTCCACCTCTGCGTTAGCTTAGAATCATTTGAAAACACCCACTAATTAAACTCAATTTCTCACCTGAAGAGCCGATCTCCAGAGCTATGACTCACCAGGCAGTATCTTTTTGGTCTTAACAATGACGGGACTGTGGATCGATGAGCTCGGGATATATCTCGACCTCAACAAAGAGTCTCTCCTCATCCATTCTTTGTCACACAGGAGACACAGCAACAGAGTTCTCTTGATGCATTAATGGTGAGGAGAGGAGTCGAGCTGCCATCGGAGCAGAGAAAAAGAGCTGCGATGGGAACTGATACAAGTAGAGAGCAAGTGGGGTGTAAAAGTGCATTTAATTCAGTGAGCGGCGAGACTGGAAATAGGACAGTGACGTGAAGTGCCGTCCAGGACATGCGTCTGGCCACCACCAGCGTTTGGGTTGTAGATTGAAAATAATAGGGGCGTAATTTTGGATGCGTGACATTCGCTGCCGGTGTGTTTGGCCTTAAGAATGTCAGGGTGAGCCAATCAGAAGCAGAGTAAGGCAAGTAGGGCAGGTCATGCCTTCGCTATCTTAGGAAACACAAATTTGCTGAGTGGCTGTAAACCCAGGTGAGTGGAGTTTGTGTATTTTGTCAGAATATTAGCCTGCTTTTGTATCCCTTGCTAATACCATGCCTGCATACTGCCCCTTGACCAAAAGTTTTTTATGAGCTAGTTAACGTTGTCTTTTTCTAAAATAGCAGAGGTTTGGCGACATTAAGAGTGCAAAAGAGCTGCACTTCTCAAATTTCTTATACACCACGGATCAAATGACTTTGTGTATTTTGATGGGGGGTCACTTGTAGTGACAAATCCATCAGGATTCATCACCAAATTCTGCATTTCCCCAGCTATATGGAGGGTTCTGTCTTTAAAGGAATACTTTACCCACAAAATGATCAGTTCTTCTTGCATTAATTTGGACTCACATTCATCAAGTGTCCGGAAACAGGTGTTCAAATGAATGCTAATGTACTTCTTGTCCACCTGATGTGTGAATAGGCAGTTTTATAATTTGTGCCACTCTCCGTAGTGGTTCCCAAAACTACATCAGTTATTAACAGCTTTCACATTTTACATTTTTTACTAGCTCTTTTAAAGCTGCACAAATCAAGTATTTTTATATTAACACTGAATAAAATTACTAAATGTGAACATGAGATGTGTTGTTTTTAGTGACAGAAAGAAGAACCATCACCCAACTTTGAAGTTTTATGTAGCTATATGGGGCACATTAGCTTTTTCTTTTTTTTGTGTATCGTTTTGGTCTATTATGTTGCTCCACGTTGTGTAAAAAGGCAGCTGCCTGATTACACATTCACCATATCATCTTTGTAAAATGAGACGTCAGTTTTTTCAGGTTGTTTGGCTGCACATAAGTGGTCATAAACAACTATCAGTCAATTAATAGAGCTTTAAAAACATTTGTATTTCTTAATAATTAAGAAGAGTATTTTAAGGCATGTTTGATTGTACCAGAATACAGACGTAGACACTGATGGAGAAAAAGTTCTTTCCACTTTGACCAGAATTCATGTTTGGAGGTGAATGAGAAAATTAAACATAATGAACATTCATGTAAAAATATTGGCCACTGACAGAATGAATAAATATCAGCTTTCAGTCTAACCCCAAGTATTAATGTGTGACATCTAACTATCATGGAGAAAGGTGTTCATGATGGGAAACAACAGTGGTCATATTGATTAACCAATCAATCTCTGTCCGCATTAGGATGCAAAATACTGCCTGATCTGACACTGCAGTCCATCACTCAGTTTGCATGTGCTTCATTAATGTTTGACATGTTCTACTTCTGCTGAATGGGCACAAAGAAAAGTAAACAACACTTTACAATGATAATAGATAAATACTTTACTACAAATATAAATATACACTACATGATCAAAAACCTGGAATGTGACTACATTTTGAAAATCAGGAATTCCCACATTAAAATGCTATTTATTTCCACTTAGAATAAGGCAAGCGTTAGTCTAACATTAGAAGATACTAGCTGTTATTTACAGGGACGCTACATCGAATCCAGCTATTACCCAACCCAAATCTGAACTTACAAAAAAATGTTGTTTAATTCAAAGACAAAAGACCACGAGTTGTGCAATTCAGTGCAGTGGTGAGAGTGTTATGAGACATCCTTGATACACAGATGTGTGTGTGTGTGTGTGTGTGTGTGTGTGTGTGTGTGTGTGTGTGTGTGTGTGGGGAGGGAACAGGAGAGCTCAGGGCAAAAAAAAACAAAAAAACAAAAGGATGAAAGGAAATGCAAACGAGACATCCAGAGCTTCAGAACAGACTGAGTGCATGAGCATGAATGAGCATGAGCGAACAGTCGTAAGCACTGATAAACCACTAAAAAGGCTTTGTGAGTGTGTCCTTCTCTCTTTAAGGCTTTTGAAGGAACACAGGCAGCTCTGATCTGACCCACCATTCAGCTGGGGACGATTCAACATGCCAGCATTTAGTGCTACATGTAGTTTAGAGTACCTCTCCAAAACCTAAGTGCCTTTCTAGTGAGAGGAGATCCAATTTTGCACCACAAAAAAAAACCTTGCAATATTTATGTTTTTTTTTTTTTTTTTTACTTAAAGATGGAAAGTAATTCTCATGAGGTGTTAGAATCTTGGGTATAAACCTTGAGTGCTGTGTGATATCCACATACACAATTAAAGTTCTTCACAGAGACTATCTGTTACATTGTTTAAAGAGTCATTTCACCCCCAAAATCAAAAATACATATTTTTCCTCTTACCTGTATTGCTGTTTATATATCTAGATAATTTTAGTGTGAGTTACTGAGCGTTGGAGAGATGACTTTGAGAGATGTCTGCCTTCTCTCGAATATAATGTAACTAAAAAGAAAATTATGACCCAATCACTCAAGATAATCCAGACCTCCCAGTTTGCTATGTTTTAAGTCTAACAAACAATGAATGCTCTAAAACAATCAACAAAATGTCAAGTGTCTTGCCTTCAACAAACTACTATCTTAACTGACTTGTTAACTCATCCTAAAACACTCCTTATTGTAAATCAACAGAAACTCTTAGTCAAGTTGGATTTATACTTCTGCAGCAAACCAATGTCACACAAACTACACACCGCGGTGACACAAGTCATGTGTGTGATTTATCCTGGCTTCATATGAGCAGAGGAAATCTCCGCTAGCTCCTAGGCTAATTTATACAATGTAAAATGCCATAGGCTTGTGCTAATAACATTAGCATGTTGTGTTTGTTTGGAAAACGTGTTTAGTATAAGACAGTTGTTTTGTCAGTGAACCTTGTGAGTTGTAATGGAGCTGAATTTTCTAACGTTACCTTTGTTAAATGTTGCTGTTGTCCCTGGCTTCATATGAGAAGAGGAAATCTTCGCTAGCTGCTAGGCAAATTTATACAATGTAAAATGCCATAGGTTTATGCTAATAACATTAGCATGTTGTATTTGTGGGGAAAATGTGTCCAGATAAAGACAAATGCTGTGTCTTTGTATCCTGCAAGTTATAATGACGCCGATCTCTCTCTGCGGTCTCTCTATGCTGTTCACATCGACAGTCTTGTAACGTTATCCCCAGCACCTGCAGTTGCCATGTTTCCTAGCTCAGCTGACCTGTTCCACCAGTAGCACTATGTATAATACATCTGATATACAGCCTCTCTGTACGAGTTTAATAGAGATATGCATCTGTGTTTTTGAGGTTATAGAAAATCTTATCGTCTGGATTTCTAAATACACTGCCGTCTCAGGTAGGCACTATTTTCTTTCTACCGAACTACACCCACCGACTGCATCACCACACAGAAGGAAGCGTGTGTGATAAGGTGGGAAGAAAATAGTTTCTACATGAAACTGCTCAAAACAAAGTCTGTGGATTATCTTGAGTAACCACTTAATGATGTCTGGAAGAGACATTTTTTGGTACTTTGAGCACCTCAAGTCGAGTGATATCTACTTTCATTATACTGAAGAGAAGGCAGACAACTCTATGGCTGATATCTCCAACACTCTGCAACTCACACCAAAAAAATCTAGACTGATAAACAGCAACACAAGTCAGAGGAAAATATGTATTTTGATTTGGGAGTGAACTGTCCCTTTAAACTTGTTGTTGCCAAAACAATATTGGAGGCTGAAATGATCCCAACTCCTCAAATCTTGAATTGTATTCTGACTGGTCCACCTCAGGACGGCTGCAACAGGGTGTTAAATGCTGCTGCTGTCGGTGCATGTTACTATGGTAATGCTTTTCATATTTCCCATGCCTCACCTGGCTGGGTCAGTGATGTCATGCAAGCATCTGACAAACATCAAATTTCAACGGCAGCATCTCTGAGTGTATCAAGAGATTTACTTTGTATATGAAAAAAAGAGGCTGTTCTATTGATTCCCTTATCGCGCTGAGTGATTAAACATTAATTATGGTTACAACTGACATGACGAGCCCCCGCTGAGTGACAACCTACTGATGTAAAACCTCCTGAGAGTGATTTAAGGCCAACTAGTGAAAGAAAAGAAAGCTGAAAAAGAGAGGAAAGAAAGACAGAAAAAGCTGATCGCTTTGATCAGTGAGTCATTTCAAGCAACCATTGACTGACTATACACATGATGCTGGGGTATATACAGATGGTTAGGGTTTGTTTGTTACATTACAGTGACTGATTAATAGGTAGTTAGTGGGCCACAGTAATAAGCAAGCTAGTGTATGTTTGTACAGGATTGCCAGGTCAGCGCTTTAGTGAAACCTAACTTTACAGTATGAGGGTAATAAAAAAAATGACCTTTGTCAAAAGAAGGATGGGAAAAATTTAATATAATGTAAACACTAATACCAATACTATTCCTCCCAACAGGAGAAACCATTACGATACATGCACACATGTACACATATACACACACACACACACACACACACACACACAAAATTGTGCTTCGGGTTCTGTTTCGGATCAGAGCAAAAAGTCGAAAAATTAGCCACACACACTTTCATGTAGGACTGACGGTTAGTGAAAGTAAAGATTTGAATGTGGAGGACTGTCGATACACACACACACACACAGACACACACATACACACCCACACACACATTCACCGAGAGCAGGCCTGGTTGTAGCAGAGGATCCCAGGAGTGATGGGGAGATGTACTGTACAGAGGGGTTTCCATGACAGTGGAAGAGTGGGCGGAGCATGAAGGGGGGGGGGGGCATGTAGTTGGGCTGGACCAATCAGCGCGAGGAGAAGCCTGTTGCTAAGCTACAGCCAACCACCTGCGTCACATCCCAGATCTGTGGAGACAAACAGCCAATAATAATGACAGCGGCCTGGTGCAAAGCTGCGTTTGAGCATTCTACATCATCACTGAGAGAACAGTGTTACTGCTTCAGCACTTGCAGGATGTTTACACGTTATTAATCTGATAGATTTAAGACTTTGAGACAGTTTTACTGATCATTTTAACCAAATTGCACAATGGAAATTTACAGAAAGAAAGCAATGATTCTTACAAAAAAGCTCTACAAGATGTACAAGACCTCCACACTTGAACATCGGAGTGATATATAAAGAAAAGTCTTTCTTTTCTTTCTGCCCTACTGAAAAAGTTTAATGGAGAATAGACAGTTGTCTGCTTGAATATAGCCACTGTGACGTCACCCACTGGTTTGTGGACCTGTTTTGGAGCCTCGAATTTGGCAGTTTGGCCATCAAAACGGTGTATCATACAGTCCCAAGGGCCGTATTCACAAAGCTTCCAAGTGCTAAGAGTTGCTCTTAGTGAAAAAAATCTAAGAACATTCTTGGCATCCTGATATTTTCTTAGAATTTCTCCTTTGAGTTAAGACTAAGTTCTTATAGAGATAAAAGTTATCACAAAGGATCACAGACCTTAAGAGAGATCCTAAAGTGACAAACTGTTAGGAGCAGGGACGGGGACTTTTAAGAGGCTTAAGAGTTTCTTAATCAGAGGAGAAAATGGTGGAAACACAAAGAGGTCGGAGACATATTCTCCAAGCACTGGATGGCAGTGAGTTAATAAAATGATCACAACACTAAGATAAATAGAAACCTGTAAAAACACAACCGTGCAGCAGAGATGACTTGAGTCTGTCCCAACTTTCCATCAGCAGTGATCACACTAACACTGACAACCCTTTAACTGTCAGCAGTTAATTTCATTTCTACTGGGTGTCCACACCTTACAGGCTCACAAAGGGGCGTGTCTGTGACAACCAATCACATCTGTTAAAAGAAAGCATCACACCTAGCAATGGAGACGACCACACCTCCTCACTAAGGTAAAACTTTCTGTCCCTTCCTTGCTCAGAGTCACTCTGAGAACTTTCCTAAATCACTCCTAAGTTAGGACTCCTTACTATAAATTTCCAGGCTAAGTTAGGAGCTCTCTCAGAGCCCCTTGGGGCTACAGCCACTTCTTTATACAGTCTATGAGATGGACAGAGGAGTAGATTATGCTGCAGCAGTGGTTTTAAGGAGCTCCTATGAAAGCTTTGCTGCTTTGTTTCCTCTGTGTAGCAAACATGAACCTAAGTTCACCACAGTGACTACAAAATTTTCAGAGTGTCTATATTGTTGTTTAATAACAGACACAGTGGGATGCAGTGCATGAAGGATTGTTCACATACTGCCTGCAGACACTCTGATTCCACACCAGGAATCTAAATCTGATAAACAGCTTAAAAAATATGCTGGTTTGATTCGTCTTTGTGTGATCACTCTGTGTGTGACACTGCCTGAATACATGCATGAATTATCTGGTATCAAAGAACTGTTGTTGACCTTAACAATGCGGTCGCTTCCACAAGTGACCATCAGGCCTCTGGATGGGTCCATGTCCATGTGGGCGATGTTGTGTTTCCCCTCATGGAAGGTGGCCAATGGCGTTCGACTGCGCAAAACACACACAAACACACACAGCATTTAATCACAGCTGCTCTGAGTAAACTCAACATATTTTGTTATGTTTTATTACAAAACTTGGAGAAGCCATTTACTCACTCTTCATCTTTGATGGATTCAAAGCAGGCGTCACACACCCGCACTGGGAACTCGAAGCCCATGATCGGGAACGTGGTGCGTTTAGAACTACATTTCCCACACACAGCCTGGCCACACTTCCTGCAGTGGTGCTGCACAAAGGAAAAACACTCCTATATTAGCATGACTGGTGGGCTGAGGGCATCAATACTGCTGAAGACACTGGTCAGACTCTCCTACCTGTCTGAGCCCCAGGGTCTTAGTGTCCCACATCTGCTTTATGTTCCAGAAGAAAGGCTGCTCACACTTCTGACAAGAGTCGCTGTCTAACCACTGGGGCGCCTGCAGAGACACGTGCAGTAGAAGGCCATCAGTAAACATGCAGAAACTCACAAGTGCTGCAAAAAAATCACCTTTACCAATGCAAGCAGCATGAAAATAAAAGGCACATGTTGCAAGAATGTACCCAAACCTTGTATTTCCCAAAGTCTAAGCTGACTGTATCATTACACTCTTTATGTGTGAGGCAGTTGTAACAGTGATGCAAACCTCTTCTCTCTGTGTGTCCATGTTCCACACTGCCATGCCTCCGTCGGCTGAGCATGACACCAGCTGCCTGGTCAACTGGAGGTAACGCAGGGCCTGAACACGCTCACTGAGGGAGACAATGAATACGGAGAATGAGTGAATAGGGAGGAAAGCAACAAGGATTATAATTTAATTATAATTTAAACCTAAATTAAGCAATATTTTCAGCAGAAATCAGTGAGAATCAACACCCAAGCTCTGCAGCTCTACAGCCTCTCATCACAGTCTGTCTTGGTATTTAGGCTTCCTGTTTACTGTGTAGTTCAGTCTAAGCAGCTCTCATGAATCGGCAAACATTTCCAGTACTTTATAAACCCACTACAAGCTCCCTGCCAGCACCAAAATACACACAAAGTTAGAGTTAGAGAATCAGGGTCAGCTTGCTTTGATTTATTGTGGCCCAAAATGACAAACACTGCTTTCATACACAAAGCACCACCAAGTATAAAGACGAACTTTAAACTCAAATGCCAAAAGATAAAAAGGCAAAATCCAGTGTAAGGAAAAAGGAGTGCCAAAAAAGTTAAAGGCCGGGTTATACCAGGATTTAGGACTTGTCAGAACCACAAGGGCATTACAAGTCTCATTTTTACAGGTGTCTGAGAGACAAACCTCTGCACTGTAAATCCTGCACACGTCAGTGTACATGGGCTTTGCTGATGACTCCTGTAACTGGGGGAGGGGGACTAACAGGTGGTGAAATATGTATGAAGGCCGAGAGGTGGAGATGAAAGCAGAGTCAGTGCCTGGGGACAGCTGTTACTGACACCACCTTCCCTTCTGATTTTAACCCTCCCAGTCCCTGACAAACACCAAGGAGGTGACGTAAACTCAGCACAGATGGACTTACTGATGTCCCTGTAACAGTAACGTTCGTCCTTTGCGGCCCCCGATGTCCCACATGATGACGCTGTGGTCGGAGGCCCCTGAGAACAGCAGCCTCTGGACAGGGTCCCACCACAGGGTCGCTATACTACCTGGAGAAGAGAGGAGAGAAAGAAACACACTTGTTACATGGGTTATTTCTGTCTCTTAAGGGACATTTATTATCTGACCTGTTGGCTCCACCTGGTGCCTGCTGGGAGAACTACAGGAAGCTCTGACCAAACACCTTAAACCTGGAGCTTATTAGAGCTGGAGGACGCTCTCTCTTTGAATCTGAATGAGGCCTGTTTTTCCATTGTTGTGCACCATACTGATTTAATGTGACCAAGATCTCATTATTTGATCAGTTATAGGAGTATTTCATTCCTCGCTTGCTGAAGAGTGGCGCTCCTCCAGGCTACCACCCTACAAGTTTAAAGTATGTTGTTAACAGAGCGGACATCCTGAATACTTGATTTGGGAAAAGCAAAGAGCTGCCCAATTAGAATTGTGTAATGTCCAAATCAATATAATATAAACATTTATTATTTAACTAACCTGAAAGCAACAAGGAAACCTTAGCCCAGATTCACACTGTGCTTCAACTAGCCCTGGGTTATACGTCAGTAAGAACACGTAACTCATGTTAAAGGAGAACACCGCTTAAATTAAAAATTCCAACATGTTAATTAATGGCCTTGTTAAGTGCAATCAAGATCTGTGAACATGAGCTACCTACTAGGGCTGTCCCGACTCCGGGTTTTTTTCTGACCTAATTGTATTGCGGAGTTTGGCTTCTCTTTGCCCTCAAACCACAAAAAATGTGATGGCACAACAGTCTGCTTCAGTACATTATTCTATGCTTTCTTTGGATTTTCACATTGGCTGGTCATCCTGTTTAATTTGTCTTCTGATTAAATGGGAACCGTTGAAACAAGTTGTAGGAAGCCTCTGCAAGTAATTGGTTGCTGGCAGACACTCTGTGCTGCAATAAAATGGTGAATCAGCAGTGCCGTGCACTGTAGAGCCGATGCGCTGCTGGTTCTGCCGGCCTGAATAGAATATAATGTCTATAGCCTTACTGTTGTGTACAGCCTTTATAGACTGAGCTGAGTAGTGATGCGCGGGTCGACCCGTAACCCGCAGGACCCGCAAATGGACCTGCGGGTCGGGCAGCAGTGATCGTCTGTTAAATCGGTCTGTAAATGATATTTTGACATATTATTATAATCTATTAATCTATAATCTATTACTGTCACTGCATCCAAAGGTACTGATGCGTTGAGCAGGTGACAGTCCGCGGTCGTTTTCAAAACACGCTTGTGTCACACACTCCAAAAGAAACTTGTTGAAACTTTAAACAATAATTTATTGTACAATATGGGGGAAACAAACGTTGACAAAAACGGTTCCATAATTCATATTAAATTCAAAAGACAACGAAAAAACAGCTACAAGTTAGAGGGAATAGTGATAAAGTGGTAAAACTTGGCATTGATCCACAGCCTCAGACGGATGCGCTCAAGCCTGCCGTGCACAAGCTCCGTTGGTAGGCGATACTATATTTTCACATTTTTAACAATGCAATTTAAAAGTTTAGATTTTTATTGATAACCTACATTTACCAACAACAAAAAGACTACATTTAGCACCAAAAAAATATGTAAAAAAAAAAATAAATAAAAAAAATAAGTAAATAAAAAAATGAATATCGAATACAAAATTTTCATCACAAATACCTGCCCATAGAAACGAATATTCAAATACCCGAATATTTGGGTACAGCCCTGCTACCTACTCTCTCTTGAAGCCGAAAACCAGAGAAGTTTAAACTTGTGATGTCATAAGGTATAAAGTATATAAATAGGATATCCTAAGGTAAGCTCATTTTCAGGGAATAACCCTGCAGACTTGGGGCTAACCCTACTCCAGAGCAGGGCCATTAAGCCCTTGGCCAAAGTCAGGGTTAGCCCACTTCAGCTGTGTCAGGATTGTGCCAGTGTTAATGCTTTTTTAGCCCTGGGCAAACAGCTCCTGTGTGAAAACACCTGTGAGTCAAATTTCTTGTTTCCTCTGATTCTGACTGCCATTCCCGACATTGCTTACCAACTTTTCAGGTACCTAAAAAAACACTCTAAAAAGTTCCAGTCAGAAAAAATGTGAGAAACAATAAGGAATATCCCCCCCCAAAAAAATCAATCCCAAATTAAAATCCTGAAACAAGGTGCATATTTAAAAACATAGTTAGAAATAAAAAAACAGACCAAAGGCTGCTGTCACTGGTCTGAATATAGGTGGCCACTGAAAGATTTTATTGCTAACAGTTTAAGGAGTGACAGTATTAGCATTTAAAGCTTTTTTTAACTGACAAAGGTTATTAGGAATGCACAGATACATATCGGACTGATAAATTATTGTTCGATACTGGGACGTTTCTACTATTATGTGGTATTCTGATAATCAAAATCATAGCCGATAAATAGTGCAGATAACACAAAGTCAAACTGCTTTCACTGACTTAACAAGGGCAGCATCTACACACCCCAACATAGTGTGTGGGAGCACACGTACCTCTAAAGTTGGTTTGACAGCGGCCAATAAACATAGAGAAGAAGAAGAACAACTGCTGCAGGCTGACTAGAGAGCAAAACGTGAGGTGTTTCACTGTTCCAGAGGAAGACAACATTATGGTGCTGAGGTGCTTTGATCTGGTGATGAGACAGTGCCTGGATGTGTTTAAAGAAATGTAGGTGACGATACAGATATTTCTTAAATCATACACTGATTAAAGTTGACTTTACTTTCACATCCTCACATTTACTATGTTTATCTGTAGCACTGGGAAATATGGGGACCGGGCATTGAGGGTAGGCCATTTGACAGTACCCCTTCTTTTTCCACAGCCTAATGCTGGCAGCCTTTCTCACTCTCCGGTGTGCATGAAGTACAGGCTATACACTTCTGTTTAAAATGCAAAAATGTGAAATGATCGGTTATTGTATCAGTTATCAGCCATGAGAAACAGGTAATTATCCGTTATCCATTATCGGTATTGACTGAAAAAATCCATATTGTGCATCACTAAAAGTTACATGTCTATTCTTGGCCTTTGGCTTTAAATCAGCAGGAACTCTGTTGTATTCAGCTGATCGACTACACAGCACGGACCATCTGCCTTCTCGTTCTCTGTCCGTGGCCAACAACAGCACACAGCTATGTTGTTACAGCAAACAGCTGATGCCTTTAAAATGCTGTAACTGTACTTCTGATTTTGTTGACTCACAGATTTTCCGAACAAGTCAACTTGCAACAACTTAATGCTTTCCATGTTTCCACTGAAACCTTCAGCACTCACTGAGACTCTGGGACAATAAAGCTCTTGAAGTGAGACCAGTCATATGATGAATAATAGCCTGCGGCAGGTGGTGGTGGACTGATTAGGCTGGCAGTGACATGAGTCACAGGGCCACCACATTCACACAGTGCACCATACTACCATGGAAACTTGTCATCGAAGAGGCTTTTAAAGCCTTTTAGGGTACTCTGCCTTTTACACAAAGTATTCTGACAGAGCCACAGACAGCACACTATGATAAACAACTGTAGGGAGCCAGACCACACACAGGGATCGGTATTCCTATCCACATTATTGACATTGTTTAGAGCTAATGTGGTGAAAAGCACCAAACAAAACACTAAATATAACTTCACTATCCTCTGCTGAAGGCATGCTCCCATCAGCTGTCATCAGAGAAAAGAAAGACAAATATTTAAACACGAAAATATATTAAAAAAGAACCACTTCCGCTGAGAGCAAACAGAAAAACTCTGATGAAAGACTAAGGTGAGCTCTGACCTTTCCATTCTGTTTTTCCACATTCAATCCATCATATTTTCCACTGAATATCTGGGAGGAACTCCTGCTTGTGCACAGCTTGAACTCCACACCACACCCAATAATGTGTATTATTATCAGTCATATTAATATGTATTATCATGAGCACTAACAGAGATCAAAGAGAGAGGCAGGAAATAAAAAGAATATATAATTGGTGGAAGTATTTGTATTAGGCTTGGGCGTTATCAAAGTTTCACAGAAATCCTGATGGCATGATTTTAAATACCTTCGAAAATACAGATGCTCCTCTTTTACCAAACTGATACGGAGATGCTGCATTGAGGCAATATATTGTAGTGTACAGCATGCGCCACCAGAGGTCACTCTTTACTGGTGGAACAGGAAGCTCAGCTGATGAAGATGGTGATGGTGAGTGGTGGGGGTAACGCTACAGTAATAGTAAAAAGCTGATCAGTGACAGCAGGATGATAGCAGGACAAAAAGCATGTAGAGCGAGCATATTTTCGCACATAACTCAGTGAATCAAGGCTTTATTCAAACCAAACCAGAGCTGCTGATTGTTGAAACAGTGGGGAGACGGACTGAGACAAATCTGGTGAGTTTTATTTTGTTTCTGAGTTTGAATGAAATGTGTTTTATGAGTTATCAAGGCCACTAAGCTACTCTTAGTTCGGTGGAAAAGAGAAACTTGAACTTGAATTCAGAAGTGCACGGTTGTATTTTTCTGTTTAATAAGTAAATAGGTGCAGGAATATTTCCTTTTGTGACATTTTAACTTGTGGAATGTGACAAACTTTCTGCTTGAATACATCTCCCAGCTGAAACTACGAAGAGGGCGCCGAAACACACCTGCACAAATATATCGGTTATCGCAGGTTGCTAGGCTAAGAGTGGCCGGTTGGAAAATTTTAACAAATCACCCAACCCAAAATCGTAAGCTGCATGGTACAATGACTTCTATCACTTGCAGTTACACACTGTGTACTCCAGTGAATTGAAGGCAAGTATGAAGGCATGAAAAGCATATACTGCTTAGGCCAAATTTATTTTATATTTTCTATATTTCAAGAGGCAAGAGCACAATTACAATGTCTGTCCCAGCTGGCTGACCTGTGGATGATATGTCTTTGGTAACAGGGTGTCTATGGGTATAAGAATATTAAATTTTATGCTTTTTTTTTAGAGCTTTTCTCAATACTTTAACCAAATTTAAGACTCATTTTTGGACAAATCATCTTTTTCTTATTCAAGATTTGCAGGTAAGTATAAATTTACAGCATACAATATATGTGGTCCCGTACAGAGGCAGGCTTTATGTAGGTTAAAGTAAATTATGCCAACAGATAAGTGAAAGTTTAAAGTAAAAGTTTCAGTGGTGGGTTTCAAGGTTTGTAATATCAGTATTGATGTTTACGCACAAGAGCTTGACTCATGTTGACAAAAAGGAATAAAGAAATGGAAAAATGAAACAGAGATCGTCATCAAGTCCGACGAGTCATCCTCACCCTCTTCTCAACAAGCTCATGAGCACATGTGTGATGAGTGCCCAAAGAAGAACAGAGGGAAGTGTTTGTTTCACACAGTAGAGCACCCTTGGGGCTCATTTTTTGCTGTGGGATACATTTTCTTAGCTCAGCCACAAGCACACTGAACCCTTGAGCATGAATCCCATCTGAGTCACGCGTTCATCCTTTGATGAAGCTCTTGTATTTTCATGGGAGTTTTCATGAATAACAATACAACAACACAGCTGCCAGATCTTGACTCAAACAAGCAGATGTGGGAATTTCCACAGCCGAATGAGAAATAACATTTTCCATCACAGTCATCATCCTCCAAACCAAGTGATGGGATTTCTTGTGGAGAAGTGGTTTCACATCCTGCTATCAGAGCTCTACTCACTTCGAAAGTCAATGTCAGACCTTGTGATGCTTTTGTGGCTCAATGCTCTATTTGACCTCATGTATGCAGGCCCTTTCTTTTTTTGGCACTTAAAATGACATAAGTGTTTTTTTAATGATGTTTAAAAGCTGTTAAACTTTGTAAGGAATCCATAGAGCATATGTCATCACATTGGATTTCTTTCATTTTCTTGCATGATGAAGTTATGTGGAGGAATCTGGGTCATCTATTATTTACCACGACCACATCTGCATATCTGGCTTCAGCATCAGGAGCCTGCGTGTGTGTGGAAGTATGTGAGGCAAACTACTTATTCTGAGACTTTGTGCGATTCACCTTTGGTAGGAGAAAACAGTTCTGTGCCAATGATAAATGTGATTCTTTATGTGTAGGCAGGTGTGTGCGTGCAGTGTGTGTCTTTACCTTCATGCCCCTTCAGTGTAGTGATGGTGGAGTACGTCTGCTTCTCCAGTTTCAGCAGCGTGATCTGTCCTGAGTAATCGCCAACAAAGGCATGCTGCGTCTCATGATCGTATCTGAGTGGGCAGTCAGGGCTGAAACAGACTCTACATATCACTACTTAGCTGATTCATATTCTTAATACACTGCACACACACACAGCGAGTGATTGAAGGATACTGTAGGCAGGAGGCCCAGGCTGTGAAGTAGTGTCTCCCCAGCATGCTGCCGCTCTGGGTGCACATCCAGCTCACACTCTTGTCGTGGCCAGTGCTCACCACCCACTCGCTCTCCAGGGAGAACACCATATCTGACACACGGTTCTGGTGGGCTGCAAAACACACACACATTAATTTTTAAACATGCACAAGTCACGGTGGATGAACATCAAACAAGATCACATCTGTTCCACTGGGCTTTATATCTGAGCCACCATGGATAAGACTAATTTGCCCTTTCCATGTGCTGATCCAACCAGAGAGTCTGCTAAGTGTCTCTGTAATCCAGACTAAGACAGACGAATCCTTTCAAACGATCTGCACTCATCAGTCTTAATGGCCCATCTGGGGATCACATCTAAGGTAGTCTGGTATAGCCAGACCTCTCTGCACATTTCATTTTAGTGCTGCGCCAGTGCTGGAGGAAGGTCTGGCTGAATCCATCATAATTTTGTGCTAAGGGAGAAAAATGCTTCTGGTTGTTTGTATTGCTTTAAAGCAGTGGTTCCCAACCGGTGGGTCGTAGGTCCATTCTGAATGTCAAGTCTGTAAAAAACACACTTTATTTTGAAGTACAGTGAATTTCCGGGACAGAGCTTTTATTTTGAAGTGCTCTTCTATAGAGACAACTGACAGCTACCTAAAGGAGACGGCAAACTAGCTTGACAACATGGCCAAACACATGTATGACGCTCAATACATTAAACTGTGTGGACCTTGATCTAATGACTGAGGAGAGAGCTGGATCTCGTGGCTGGACCAGTTGGGAACAACTGCTTTAAACCAATCACAATCGTTTTGGGCAGTGTCTTTCTTATTCTAGTGCTCCTTTTCCTGAAAGACTCTTTGCTCGTGGAATTGGAAACGAGCACTTAAGACACATTTTTTGTGAAACAATCCCTAAATAGATCTAACTAACTACTTTGTTTCCTGTAACCTGCAGCTGTTCTTGGTGTCAATGATGATTTTTGTCCTTTGTGGAGTGGTGTGGTGTTCTTGTTAGCATCAAGACATTCTTACTTACTTGCTGCGTGGAGGTTTGGGGAAAAACATAAAACAATCACAAATCTGATTAACTTGCTTCAGAAGAGAGCGATCAGAATCATAAACAGAGCTGATTAGCCACATAAATTATTCATAAATTCACAGGCACTCAAAATTAGTGAACTTGTGGATCTTAAAGCAGCATCACTGATGTACAAAGCAAACAACAGCATGTTACCAGACTGTGTCCGGAGGTTGTTTCATATAAGACAATGTCAGTATGAACTGAGAGGACACTGTATGTTCACAGAAAGACCAGAACAAAGATGTGTTTCAGTATGTGGAGTACATTTGTGGAGTGGTTTAGAAACAGAAGTGAAAGTGTGCAATACACACTACAGATAAAAAAAAATATTTAAAACACAAAGGGCTGCTATTGTGACTATTGACCTGTTGCACACTTGGTAAGTTCCTACTGGCACTTAAGTTTTTATTTGTGAGAGTTTAATTTGCACTACTGTATTTTATTTGCACTATTTACACTACGAGTTTTTTATTGCACTTTTTATGATTATATAATAAAGTTTATTATCTTTTTGTCTTATCTTAAGATGTTTAACAAATATAAAACTGAAGTATGAACACCAGAGTCAACTTTAAATGTGTTTGGGATATTTGGGCAGACAACAGGCGTATATAATGTATATATACTTAGTTACGTCAGTTTCTTATTGCTCTGTATATTTTAAGGAAGCTGACAAAAACAATGAATGTTAAAAGGGCAGGTGTAATAAGCTAAGGCTTCAGCTAACACCTTTGGGTCCTGTTTTGTTTTTTATAATGCTAAAAAACATTAACTCAGTGTTTATGTATTGTCTATCTAGCAGTATATTTGTGTTTTAAAAGTTGGAAAATGACTGAAATAAACTCAACTAAACAAAAGAACACTGTCACCATGTTCACATAACACTGCAGAACACATTTGCTTTTAATTAATCTGAACTACATCGAGGAGTTTCCAAAATCCTTTCCATCACTCTGTCACATCAATTACAACCCGACTGAACATACTATGTAAGCTGTTTTTAAGCAGTGGCTAATGGGCTGCTTAAAAAAAAGAAAGGTCAATATTTCCTCGTCTGCAGCTCTGAAGAAAGAAACACTGACTGCCAAAAGGCAAATGAAGATGTTAAGCCCTGTCTGACTTTTAAGTGCACAGAAACATCCTGAGGCTGTTTGATCTGATAGTGACTCATGTTTTTACTGTTCAGGCTCCGCTGCTTGATTTTGCTACAAGTGGTGGAAACCAGATGGAGCATTCCAGTGGCGACGCTGATGTGATGTTTTACCAGCAACAGGCTGCCCATTAGTTCCATATGATCCTCCACTGAAGAGGCTGAGAGGCTGCTGATGCAGTCACAGCAACTGTGTTCTGTTCATAAGCTACCAGTTATGACAACGGACACAGGAGATGCAAACAAAGATTATGACTGCAGGGCTGCAACTGACAATTATTTTCATCTGCAGATTGTTTCCTTTATTAATTTTTTAGTCTTTAAAATGCTTGAAAAACTGTGAAAAAAGCACATCACAACTGACATTTTCAGAGGTCTTGTTCTGTTAAACCCGATAAACAGTGTGCCAGTTTGGGTTGTCCACGACAAATGATGACCAACATGGGAAACGTGGTGATATCTTTGGTCGTGACTCTAAAACAGTGGTCCTGCATCACACAGTCAGAGAGGTTCAAGGATGGACGTTGACACGGTCTGTGATCAAAGACAGCCTGGGATAAAATCTGACAGTGTCAGAAATTTGGGATGACCATCTCACTGTGCGACTGCTGTTACCACCTACGCCTACTAACCAACCAACAGAAATGCAGCATGAAGTGACACACTGATCAGCGCTAAACCCAAACACATAGACTGATAGCAGCTCGCCATGGAGGCAGAACACGCTAAAAGAAATGTGTGGGATTCCAGCAAAGAGGAAAACCTTGTGGAGTTGTGGCAGCAGAAGCCTTGCCTGTATGATGTGTCCTCCAGCTCTGACCATGATCGCGTAAAGATAAGTAGGATGAAGCATGGAACTCTACGTTGTGCTTCACAGTTGGAGAAGTAATAACCTGTGCAGCATCCTTACACACTCAGAATGGGAAGCTAACGTACATTGTAGCCTGTGATTCAGTAGGCGCTGTCATCATACAGTCTGCAGACATCAAACATGATGTTGTACCCAAGTTTATCAAATCCATGTTGCACAGTGAAGTGTGCACTTAAGTCTGGAGAAGGCTTTAGACCCAATGTCCAAAACCCAAAGATTCTCACTCTGCAATGATGAAAAAAGCAGCAAATCATCTCATTTGAGAAGACTACTTTTCTGTTAGTAGACCAATCAGTTTGTGCTTCAGCTCTAGTATTGAATATAAATGAGTGCCTGCCTGGGCTGTTGTGTAACAATACATCTATCTGGATCGATATATCAACTCAATGATCAGCGAGCCAGTATCATCGCTGCAGAGTGAAAACATAAAAATATATCGTTGTCTTTAAGATTCAACTCTATTTTCAAATTCCCACAGCACATCAGTGTCACCACTTCTGTACACGCACACCTCCTTTCTAAACACTCAAACAGTGCCAGTGTGCTAGCGCCATGCAGCCAAGAAAAAGACAATGGGGATGTTTACTAGAGTCGGCTCATATCGACCACAGGCCCCTGAATTAAATTTAATCAACACTGTGTTGTGGCCACAGTCCTGCTGCTGATTCACACTATTCGGCTGACCAAGAGTTGTCTGCAATGACACGATAAGAAACACAGTGATGTGCCAACAAACGGAAGGAACAACAAAGACTGTAAGCCAGAAGCATGATCAGTGAATTTCTTTAGTTCCTTAAGCACACACACATCTGTCTAATTAGATGCAGTAATGACTACAAGACAGAGAATAAAATGAAGGGTTTATAACATGAAAGCAGTTTTGTCAGCTGCGCTAGATCTTGTTAATACTCTGCTTTTATTAAATATTTGAAATTTCAGTTGTGATTTTGAGTCCAGTACACAGAACAAATGTGTGAGAGTCATTTCTAGCAAGTCATTCTAGTTCCCTACTATTTTCTGAGTGACTTTAATGCATCACCTGACCTGGTGTCTCAGGAACCTTCAACTAAAGGCAGGTGCACTGTGTAAGGAAGGCGTGGAAGACGCCACAGGGTTCAAGTCTTTGACTGCTGTGTGTTTGGTTAATCTTAGTTTATTGTTGATGATGAAATCATTTACTACCCCACTGATCTGAACTTTGTTTTGTAAAGGCCTGTTTATTTGGGGAATGTTTGTTTGGGGATTTTTTATTGAACACAACAGTCAAGACAATTAGTTTATAGCGTCATCCTGCAACTCTCCGCACATCCTGCAAATCAATCAACTGTTAAACCGACCAAAGCCCCTGGATCATCAAATACTGAGTACAATTAAACCAAAGACAGCAAGTTGATCATATCTCGTCATCTGATATCTCACCTGGATATGTTTTTACATGGTTCATCTTGTTGAAGTCTTCAGAGATAAGAAACTCCTAGAAGGTGAGCAAACACACAAAAAAGAAACAAGTTTCAAATCAAATAACTTTCCTGGCCCTGCAGGCATGTAGAGGAGTCCAAATATTCAAATTGTGGTCTATTAAAACCAGATATGTAGGTTATTTTTTTAGACTAGACTACTTGAACAAACTAAAGAGTGATCCAAGAGCATGAAGCCATTTGAGTTAGCTTCACTCACCACAACAGCTCCATTGTCTTGGCCTATGAAGATGCGTCTGCTGTCATGATGGTACGACATGCAGGAGCACGGAGCTGAGAGAAAGTATACATTAGCCACGAGCAGGGAAGTCCCTACACACACGCCATGTTGTGGAGAGACGTGCACTGTATTGCTGTATTCCTTTTTTCCCTAACACAGTCAATCATGTAAACACACACATATTTGCAGTTCTCCTTCTAAATGAAGCAGTGCAGTCTTACTTACAGGACACTGTGTGGTAGATGCTCGGCCAGTACTGACCGCTGTCTCTTTTCAGCCAAACTCGGATGGTTCTGAGGGAAAATGGAAAACAACACATTCAATGCAATTTCCAGTGTCTTCTCATTCTGTGGTCTGTGTTATCTTATTAGGTCGATTAATAATAATATTTTACTTGCTGTTTACAGGACCTATCCTGCAGTTAAATATATACTTAATATGAAACATAGAATTTTCAGTATACATGATGGAAATATCGACTGGAGAGAGACCCTTATTTGGCACTGGGCTTAATCCTCATCTGGGAAACCAGCCCTAAATCTCTTCACACACAATGCTTGATTCTTTTCACAAAACAGCACTGGCAGGGGCAGGGTGACGAATCTACTATATTAACTGTGTGTCTGAAAAACTTCAGCTGGTGAAAATTATTCTTGGCAGATTGTTTTTTTAGTATTATCCAAAGACACCAAAGTCATGAACACAAGCTGCATTAATGTTACTGTTGATGATTAAACCTTAAACCCTGCTGTTCTTTGATACATTTTAACACTTATATGGTGCACATTTCAGCACCCCTCTCTAAAAATAATATGTAAAAATGGACAACTTTGCAAAGATCAAATGTAGCATCATGTTGTGTTTTTGAAAACCATGTTAACCACACAAAATGACCATTTGTATGTCAATTGTGCAGACTTATCAAGTTTCATTTATCCAGTCATAGGCTCAGTATTTCCCAAATGCACTGAAGCTAAAACCTTACTATTCAAAACTGAACTGAAAGTGAAACTTAACGATACTTTCTTCAAAGCCAGACTTCAATACTATGGTTTTATAACAAAAATGCCTGTATTTGGGAAGTACAGAGCACACAACTAGGTAAATGAGATTTGGATTGTACCGCACAAGCTGTGTGACAGTTTGTAATAGATGTTTTTAAAAGGTTTTGCTGTTGTTAGACGTGGTCCCAAATCCATCAATAAATCCATATGTTCACAGTCTTCCATGGATGCATGCATGACTTTAAGGTAACACAGCATGACTTACTGATACACAAATGGTCATTTAGTTGGTGAAGTGTTCCTTTAACTTTTCAGTTCAAGTGCATTTAAAATGAGCTACTGTTATGGGGGGCGTCCAGCTCAGAGCCGACGCTCCATGAACAAAGGCTGTGTCCTTGCAGCAGTGGTTGCGGGTTCGAGTTCAATCCATAACCCTTTGCTGCATACAAGTTTAAAAAAAGCTACTGTCAACCATTTTAAGAAATCAGGCTGAAGGTTTTACTTCTGTTCCAGTAAAATGTTTGCTATGCAACACACAAACACACACACACATACACACACACACACAATATCAAAACCAGCACCTGTTTCATGCAGGAACCTGAATGTAAGACTGCTACATTATCACCCCGCAACTTCCCTATTGAATATGAAGTCGGTTACATGTGTGATGGAAACTGCATCTCATTTCTTCACAGCCTTCAAGTTCCTTTATTTATAAATGAGGATGTTGCTTCTTCACACTTGTAACCAAGCATGACAGCCCTAATGTGAAAGACAGATGTGACCATGCTTACACCTTCACATCTGTAATTATCTGGCTAACGCTGTGACGGGCCCCAGTGCACACTTGTACACATGTTGTCTCGTCACATGATCAGAGATCATGAGACTTGACACTGATAACATCAACATACATATTACCCAACAATCATCATTGAATATCTGTATGACTAATACAGAAAATAAGAAATTATTAATTGAAAACTTATAATAGTTTTATATAGTTTTTTTGAACAAGCATATATATATATTTGTTACAGATGCTGTTGACTATTTTACAAAAAATAAAGAAAAAATCATGATGTAGACTGGTTTGACTTTTTCAAGGGCATATATAGCAAACAACACTGTATTTAATTCAATGAGAGTTCTTCTTTGAACATAGGTATATTTCCATGTTGGCAGTCACTCATGAAGGCCCATTCTCCACCCAACACATTATTGGAGGCCTCAAGCGGGATTTATACTTCTGCGTCAAGTTGTCGCCATACCGTACGCCGTAGCCTGACGTGCCCCTCCCCAGAAATGTAACCACACATCACAGCGACGCTGAGCTCCTGTCTGTTTCTGTAAGCTGAAACCATTTCCCTCAGTGGAGACAAAGCTTTTATTTACTTTAATTTCACAGATAAGAAACAATTAATTGCGAAGACAATAAAGCCTCCAGAAAATAGCATTTTAAGTCTTGTGTGTGATTTATCCTGGCTTCATATGAGCAGAGGAAATCTATGCTCGTCGCTAGGCTAAATTATTCAATGTAAAATGCCATAGGCTTGTGCTAATAACGTTAGCATGTTGTATTTCTGGGGAAATGTGTCCAGATAAAGACAAGTGTTTGTCTGTGGATGCTGCAAGTTATAGTGAAGCTGATCTGTGTACTTGGGTTTGAAATTGTCTCTATTAAGCCATGTTTAATGTGTTTAATGTGTGTTTTGCCTGCATGCATTGTCTGTATTTACGCCCCTGCTGCTGCCACAGACAGTGAAGTGAAGAGAGTTATCAAATAGTTTATCTGCTGCCTTCAAGTTTGGTTGAAAACATGGTATTTACTTTATGTTGTTTATTACTCCACAAGCATTTTCTGTTGCACCCAGATTGTCAAGATGTGATGTTCAGGGGCGTATTAAATCATGCGTAACTTAGATGTCAGTTCCTATAAAGCAACAAGTAAACAAGAAAAATAAACAACTTAATAGGGCACCCTTAGTTATCGTTGTTCTCATAAAATCAAACCACAATGAGTCAATCAACATCTTTTCTGCAAGGTCCGTTTCATTAAAAGAATTAACCCTCTATAGATTACGAGGAGCCCCTGAAGGTAGCAATAGCTTTTGGGAAAGTGCGTTGTTTACTATGAGAAGTAGCTAGCTGGCTAACTAGCTACGTCAATACAGCCCAACTCATTGTAATACTACTGCGTGGACAAATGTTGAACCGTAGAGCCCAGTTTTATAAAATAAAAATCTATTTTAATATTACCGTATATATATATTACGGTCGGTTGTTTGATCGCGGTTATGTTACGGGGACGTTTTACTCTTCATGGATTTTTACCCCTCACACACCCTCCTTTGCTAACACACCGGCTCCATATGGAATATCACAACCTAAATATTTCATAGAGAGAGGGAGGGAGAGAAAACCTGTTGTTTCCTCTGTTCCTCTGTTCCTCTGTCCGTTTTCATCCAGGGTACCGGGAATTATGATTGTATTAACCAGCAAATAGACCGAGCCCGCTAGCTACTGCTGATAGGCTAACGTTACCGTTAGCCTGCTTGGTGAAACTCACCTGTCCTCGCTGACCGTGATCACTCCATCTTCTTTTGGTATTAAAACGGCCGCATTGACAGCGTCTGTGTGGCCCTCGATCTTGTTGAGAAGGATCGGTCTGGCGGTTTGGGGCCTCGAGTGGATCTCCGCAGCCATGGTTTGAAGTATCCAGCAGTGTTTTCCTTCAGCTGATTTTCCTCCTCACTCGCCAGTGAAGGAGGATCAGCTGACACCCGGAGCCGCTGTCAGGATTACCGTAATCACCGCAAGACTGGGGCACGAGCAGTTTCACCAGATACCGTAATACCCTGACTTTATTCTCAATCAGGGGCGTAAATATAGAGAAAGTATAGACCATCATGATTTTCTTTTTCCTTTTCTTTTCTCTTATTTGAGTAAAATAGTCACCATTATAATCTATAACAAAATTCAAATGCCTATTCCCCATGAACTTAACTAATAAACTTAAATTAAATGTATATTTGGCCCTGTGATAGTCTGGTGACCTGTCCACGGTGTATCCCACCTCTCGCCCAGTGGAAAGGATAAGCGGTTACGGAAATGAATGAATGAACTGTATATTTGAAAAAATATTCAATTAAGTAAATAATAATTTTCTTTGATATTTTTGTTATATACAGGTATGTAGTGATGGTTGTTGGGCAACATGTATGTTAATGTTGTCTAATGTCAAGGCTTTATTTGATCATGTGACAAGACAATACCATATCTAGTAGCTAGTTTAGGCGCATTTTTTACTGTGACAATATTTATTTAACTTAATTATAGCAGTCATTATACTACTATTCCCCTTCAGTAAATAGGCAGAAATGAATAAATAAATCAAGGATGTATTATTAGCCAAGCTAAAAACAAAATCACAAAAAACATTCCATATTAATAATATTAATAAATTGATATTCTAAATTGATATTCTATCAATTTAGTAATGTGAGACAATATATCATCTTAGATCTTGAATATCCTAATATAATAAGTGTTGTCTTTTCCTGGTCTTAAAGGCTGCATTACAGTAAAGTGATGTCATTTTCTGAACTTATCAGGCTGTTCTATAATTTACCTTTACTCACTTAGTCATAGCCACATCACTGATGGTTATTTATCAAAAGTCTCATTGTGTAAATAGTTTGTGAAAGCACTAAGAGTCAACCCTACAATATTGTCACAATATTGATATCAAGGTATTTGGTCAAAAATATTGCGATTCCTCCCTATCACCTTATTTTCTGTGCTCGTTACATTTTGGGCATGTGACCCCACAGCGCTCAGGTGAGGTCAGGGCTTTGTAAAAATATAGCGACCAGGTGCCAGACCATAAGCAGCAGACATCCAAGAGCCACAACACTGAAGAAAAAATGCAAATATAGTGATACTGCGGTGGCACAGCTTACAAGACAATCGCTCAGTTGTGATAAAAGCACCAAATGTGGTAAATATATAGCTAAATACCATTTCTGCTTTAACCTTTGAACCAGATGAGCTACAAATGTTTGGTGTCTATTTTATGGTTTTTGACCATAAGAAACACATTAAAATGTTTAATTTTATGATTGGAGGCATCTGTTATGTTAAGGATAAAGCAGGCAAGATTGGGAGCATGGACAACTATAGGCCTATTGCACTAGCCAGTGTGGTTTCCAAGATTCTGGAAAAGATCCTATTGGACCATCTATATGAATTTGTATCCACCACACATAACCAATTTGGATTTAAGTCTAAGCATGGTACGGACTTATGTATTTATGCTCTAAAAGAGGCCGTTGATCTGTACAGAAGACAAAACTCCTCAGTACTAATCAGCTTCATAGAAGCCTCGAAGGCTTTTGATCGAGTCAATCACAAAAAGTTGTTTCTTAAACTGAGTCAAAGGGGTGTGCCTAATAGCATCATAAGAATACTGGCGTATTGGTATGCTAACCAGAGCATGCAGGTTAGATGGGGCAACAGAGTTTCCGACTGCTTTTGTGTTAGTAATGGCGTCCGCCAGGGGGGCTACTTTCTCCAGCCCTTTTTAACATCTACATGGATGATCTTTCTCATCAACTAGGCGCCTGTAGAACAGGCTGTGTAATTGGAAACACTCTTTTAAACCATCTCATGTATGCTGACGATTTGGCAATTTTCTCCCCCAGCAGTGCTGGATTGCAACAACTGCTCAATATATGTTCTGAGTATGGGATCAACCATGATATATTGTATAATGCCAGGAAGAGTATGGTTATGCTATGTCGAACTAAAGAGGATAGAGACCACACATTTACAATTTTTTATCTAACAGGACAAATGTTGAATGTCTGTACTAAAACAAAATACCTCGGCCATTTCATCACAGATCAATTAACTGATGATGATGATATTAATAGACAGTGCCGAGGCCTATATGCTCAGGCAAACATGCTGAGAAGGAAATTTAACATGTGTTCAGACCAAGTGAAGATCTGTCTCTTTAGGGCATATTGTACCCCACTCTATACTGCCCCATTATGGTGTAAATTTAAGAAAGCGAGCATTCATAAGCTGCTGGTTGCTTACAATGATTGCATGAGGATCCTACTGAAACAGCCGAGATGGTGTAATGCAAGTGAGCTGTTCTGTAAGGTGAGAGTCAGCTCATTTCAGGCTTTGCTTAGACATTTGATGTACAAATTTATCTGCAGACTGAATGATTCTCAGAATGCCATCATTGCTCAGCTGGTTAACCCTCGTGTCAGTGATGTGAGATATCGGTCACCTTTATGGAAACATTGGTATGATTGTCTTGTTTAGCACTGTTTTCTTTTTTCCTTCTTTCTATTCTTTTTGAATGTGTTTATTATTTTAAAAATCTCTTATGTCTAGGATATGTTGTTAATTGATTGAGTGATCTGTTTTTTTTGTATTGAGTGTTGTATGTTTTTTAGTATGGACCTTGAGTCTGATAATAATAATAAACTGAAAAACTGAAACTGTTCCTTTAATTCCCATATTTCCAAGATGGCGGCAAACCTGAAATAAGTTTTTTTTTTTAAACTCTTTTGACAAACTCTGTGTCTATTTTATATTTTTAAACATTAGAACCAAATTGGAATACTCAGATTTATTTTAAATAATATTACATTTCATTTATGATCTCTAATTTTGTATTATCGATATGGCCACTATCCCAAAAATTTAATTTACTCGCACATTTTCACTCAGATTGAGTCACAGAATGAGCTTTTTCCATGCTGCGATTCCAGGTCCAGAGTGATATTGTATGCCCACTTTATCCACGGTAAAAGCAAAATGTTAAACGTGAGTAAATCTGCTTAATAGTTCCCAAATAAAGTTGAATGAATTGTTCTGAAGCACGTTAATTAATTTCTGTAGCTGAACAGGTAATAATTGAAAATGCAAACAACAGACAAACACTCCCTTGTAAGAAATACAATCACCAGAAACTCAGTGATGTTATAAATATGTGTATTTATTTGATCAAGTATGAAGCAAGTATGATAACAGAAGACTTCCTCAGTGAGGGAAACAATCATTGTAAAGTAGCTGAACACAAGATGTTCAAGATGCTCATACTGAACATTGCCATAACTTAGGAGTGAAACTTAGAACCGACTGGAGTGACAGGACTTGAGGCGGAGAACTTTAAATTGAAACAGTAATGTGATAAATAAACTGATTATCCTACTCCAGAGCTGAGAAAATACACAAATGACATTCAAAGTCTTTTTTAAAAATGTAATAAATTCAAAAAAGTATACAAAAAATTAAAACAGCTGGAAATTTAGTCTGCAAAACATTTTATAAAGCATGTTATGCGTTACAGAAAATGGGTAACATAAAAAGCAATATTTAAAACAAATAACATCACATGTCCACACTGTACATAAGTCTACAGCAAAGTCTGTGTGTGTGTGTGTGTGTGTGTGTGTGTATGTGTGTGTATGTGTGTTCATGCGTGGCAGTGTAGAAGAATTTCGTGCTGGCCTTGATGCTACCAGGGGCTGGCCAGTGATGGCTGGGCTCAAGGCTGGTTCATCTGTCCCATAAAGAGAATGGTACCTGGAGCAGAGACAGGAAGAACTCATCAGAGTCAAACACTCATTTCTTCAGGCACTACTGTCTTTGGGTCACCTGAGGTCTGTGCTACGAAGCCAGTTCAACTGACCCAGGATATCTTTTCATGAACTGGCTTGACTGACCCTAAAGCCTCCAACAGACTGTGAGATTTTAGTAATCTTATAAGCTTTGTGCAAGTTACATTTCTCAAGTAGTTACACAAATGTTAGATCTTTGATATAAATATATTATATACACCTTTAAAGGTAACCTCAGGCAGAAACAGTCGACTGTACCTGTTGGGTTATGTCTGATGATGAAGAGGAAAGGTCTGTCCACTGTAACCCACGGTGGAGAAGACCGAGCCAGCAGAATGGCAGCTAAACACACAAACACATTGTAAAAACATGTCAGGAACCATGACAGCATAGGTTAATGTACAACACTGTTTCCAACGTAAAGAATCTCATCAACAGTTTTATATTGTGATCAACATATAAGTCCAGGACGAGGCTTCACAGAACACTTACTGGTGGCAGCTGCTGCTTTTGTTCCATCTTCATTCACCACAATTTTGGCTTTCTGGAGCGCCCTGGATACGTGCAAAGGCTCAGCACCTGAGGAAACAACAACTGTAAACTCTACCTTTGGACACACACACACAACAGGTTATTTTACAGGCATGCCATCATTGCCTTTTATTACCAGTCTAATATTGATTAGCCAGGGTTCTCCACATCAACATGGTGGGTATGATAGACTCATTTGTGATAACATTTAGTAAGTACTAACACTGGTGTACAAGATAAAACCACACCCTGCAAGCTCATGGTTTACCCACACGGGTGTTTTGAGTTTTTTTTAGCCTGGTTAGAGCTCCTCTAGCGGCAGGGACTTGACTCAGCTGGGAACCCGGAGGGTCGCCTGTTAAAGTCCCTGTAAAGACCTAGTATGGAGCGTGAACTGGCAGCTGGAGAGGTGCCAGTTCGCCTCCTATGCAAAGCTGAGGTAACCATGAGCAAGAACCTGCACCTCCAGCTGCTCAGGGCACCTGTCCAAGGCAGCCCCCTCGCTCTGACACCTCTTCATGTAATGCATGTAAAGATCCTGTTTGTGCATGTGTGTGTGGAAAAAGTTGTTCTTCCTTTATTTCCCTCATGGCGCAGTCAGACCAGAATTCGCTTCCCATCCATTTCGATGTGGAACTGGTTCTGGTTTTAAATTGACCCGCCTCCTTCACTTCACGTAGAGTCTCTGATTGAATTTGGACACACGCAAACACGAGGCTTTCCAGTGTCCAACTGGTTTGAGAGAGGGGATGGGATCGACGTAACATACAGGGAATACGAGTAATACAACCATTACTAGTCGAGCATGCAGGTGGACCTCATATCCTAAATAATGACAGCACAAGAAAAATGTTGTGTAGTCATAACAGCCTTAATTAATTATTAAGTTAAGGTATTAACAGATTGATATTGCACCACATGATGGCACTTGAGTAACACTCGAAATCTGTCAGACAGACCCTAGCTGATTTTTTTTCCTGGAGTAGTCCTATAGACCCCTTGTCAGACTACACCACATGGTGGCACTGCAGTGTTACATTTAGAGCTCCTCTCAGTCCATCACTCAGGGAAAGTTGTGGGAAACAAAGAGAACACAAGTGATTCAGTTTCTCACACTGGACAGCGACACGTACCTCTCACTGACTCTTGCAGTAAACAGCCAACAATGCTCTCATATTTTCAAGCCTTGCTCATATCCAAATAAACCTGTTGTAAATACTCTGAGGCAGTGTGTCACATTTGGTTTTGGTTTACTTGTGCTTTCACTCACTGATGTGTCTGAAGTCAGCTTTGTCCTGGATGAACATGTCTGTTATTCCCAGTGCTGACAGGGGGGCTTCCAAATCTACTTCGGCATCAGCGGTAAACCTACAGACATAAACACAAACAAGCACACAGTGTTATTTTTGCATTCGGTCAAAGATGTTTGAACAGTTACTGTTGTGTGTTTGTGTCTTACTTGGGGATGAGCAGGCGGACTTTTCTCATGTGCATCAGTTTGGTCCAACTCTGCACTGTGGCTGTGCTGATGTGTGGGATGACACGGGACAGAGGGGTGTCCTCTTCGGAGGGCAGGACTATCATCATGCTGATGGTGTTGCCATGATAGGGCAGCTCAATCACCTTATATTTCAGTCCCTGAGGTGTGGTGGCCAGGCCTGGTGGAGAAGGAGAGGTTAAAAGTTAGTAGTTTCAAAGGTCAGGGTAATAATGGCAGGGATGACTGAATCCAAATGTTCACCCTCTGGACGTGTAGACTGAGCCCTCCTAGACTTCAGTCGTACGTACTGTGACGTGTTTGCTGTTATCACATTAAGTGATAACAGCAAACAGTAGAGACTGTAGGCCACTGATAGACAGGCCTCCAGTCTGTTTCATTCATTGCAGTGCATCCCGTCAAAATAAATCAATATGACTGGACCATGTGTAACTTTAATTTGAAAGGACAGACACAGGAAGTGACCACACTCAGCAGTCAGACAGGAGTCAGGTTAATTTCCAGGGCTGGTACCTGCGGTTATTCCACAGGCTAGTTAATAACATGTCGGGCAGGAAATCCAAAGTGTGGGATCATTTTGAGAAGGTGAAGGACGAACCCAAGGTGATATGTAAACTCATCTTCATTGGTCGACTACAAACATGACGTATCATCTGAAACATGGAAGTAGCTACATGCCCATTAGCCCACAGCGTCATTAACAGGCGGCTCGCTCAGTGTGTGACGTGCACTTGGAGATAAAATATAGGCCTATATTAATGAAGGTTCATTAGTACGGTTTTGTATTTCTCTGTAATGTAGCACAGTGTTAACAATGTTACTGATACTATTCTTTCTCACACCTTCAACTCAAACCACCGAAACAGAACTAAAGAACTTTGTGTGTCTGTGGGTGACACTATTTTCTTTGTCTCTCTGACCACGACGGCTACCGCTGCTCTGTATTCTTATTTGATATAAACAAACTAGAAACGGAAAATGCATCATTTCCTGGTGACAAACAGATTCTTCCTCAGAAAAGACCTGCCAGAAAGCAGATGTTTATCATAGCAAAATGTCCTCTTCAACAGGTTGTTAGTTTAAGGAAGAGGAGATAGCAAAATGGTGAAATTAAAGTCACACAGATTATGACTTTTACACAGGAATATAGTTGTAGACTTCTGCTGTGCCCTCCAAGATGCATTTTAGAGAGCTTTTCTCTCCATTCAAACATGTTGTGAATATAGCTTAAAGCCTGAGATGGCATTTAGTGCGCTGGACTGTATAGGTCCTTTAACTTTTTAAATAACACCACATTTCCATCACGTACGGCACTTAGCTGCAAATAAGAATGGCAAATGAACAGTTTAACTTAGATGTGAAAGTTACGTTTGGCCAAACAAAGCACATAATGTCACAGCAAACATCCATTCAACTGTGTCTACACAGTTTGTCATGCTTCATATGGCCATTAAACTAAATCACGCCACATTATGTTCTAAAGTAATAAAGCCAAGTATGTGTAAATCCCATTATACTCAGAGCATAACTGTGTTGAGCCATAGCTAAATGATTTAGGGCTTTTACAAACTCTTTATGACCTAAGTGCCGCAATTTGGGGACGATAATCCAAACAAGTCACAGACTATGTACACTGAAGCCAGCACACAGCAGGACGCTAAGAGAGAAGCAAATGTCTGTGCCTCATAGCTGAACATGGCCTTAGTTTAACTCCAGCACTGCAGGAGGATCTACCCACAGCACTCGAACACAACTCTGACAACTCATCTAAATATAGACGACTGACTAGTATATCATTTCATTTAACACAGGACTAAATAATATCCTACGGTTGAGGCATGTCTCAGCCTGCTTTCTCTTACAACTGAACACAAGCTGAACTATGAGTCATAAAATGGTGATTGACGCGATTGAATTATAAAAACTAAAAACAATTTAATCATTAAATGATCAAGTTGGCAGATCTGACAATAGCAACAGCTTCTAATAGGCATGCTTGATGCAATGTGTTTAAACCAGGTGGCAAATTGAGGCTAAAAAACATGAAGCCATTGTGGGAGTGCCAAAAACTGCAACTCATCAAATGGCCACATGAGGCTGGCTCCAAAACAGGCCCAACAACCAGCCCAACTTTACAGCAGAAATAAACATGTTTACAGCCTGGTACAAGAAACGGTTTTCATGACATTTATTAAGTTAATTTTTTCATAACTCACCCATTTACATTTTATCGAGGTCTTAAGTTACGCATTTTTATGGACGGGGTCGCTTGAGTGACAGGCTGACTTGCTCCTCCACACCTCCACCCTCTCGTCCAAATACGGTCACTTCTTGCTTCAAAAAACCCCAACATAGCAATGGCAAAAATGACGAACTCAAGGCTTCAAAACGGCAGTCGGCAAACCAATGGGTGACATCATGGTAACTACATCCACTATTTATACAGTCTGTGGTTCAAGCTTGATTGAGCGAAGATTAAACCAAGACATCTCAAACATGCAGTGGTTACTCAAAGATACATATGCCAACTTAATAATGAGTTACAGGGACCCTGTGGTGTTTTTGACCGACTGCAGGCTAGCAAACACGGAGGTAAGTATAGGATAAGATGTACTTAAAGAATTGACTTCGTAAATGTATTTTAGGGAAGGAAATGCAAACATGTAAACAGAACCTTTATTTGTCCAACAATCCATTTTCATCCGCTTATCCGGAGCCGGGTCACGGGGGCAGAAGGCCAAGCAAAGCACCCCAGACGTCCCTCTCCCCAGTGACGCCACCTCCTGGTGGGCCCCAAGGTGTTCCCAGGCCAGATGAGATATATAATCCCTCCGGTGTGTTCTGGGTCTGCCTCGGGGCCTCCTACCAGTGGGACGTGCAGGAGGCGCCCAGAAGGGTTCTGATCAGATGCTCGAACCATCTCAACTGACCCCTTTCGACATGAAAGAGCAGCGGCTCTACTCAGAGCTCCTCCAGATGCTCCTCACCCTATCTCTAAGGCTGAGCCCAGACACCCCACGGAGTAAACTCATTTCGGCCGCTTGCATCCGAGATTTCATTCTTTCGGTTACTACCCTGAGCTCATGACCATAGGTGAGGATTGGGACGTAGATGGACCGGTATATCGAAAGCGTCACCCTCCGACTCAGCTCCCTCTTCACCACGACAGTCCTGCCCAGCGCCCACATCACTGCAGACAGCTTTATTTGTTCACAAGAAAATTTTAACTTTAAATTACTGGCTAGCACTCCTTCTGTACTACTACATGAAAACCCCAAGTAGCTGTTATCTTACTAAATATACTGTATGACTAAACATACCTTAATAATCTAACCACAAATACAGCATGCCTAAAAATAGGAATGAATCCTTATAATTTGTGGTGAAAGCAGCTGAAGGCCTCTATGAATCAAATCCCTCTGGATTAACATGCACAGAAAATCAGTTATTTTAGTGTAATTTTATTTGACTTGCCTCAACTGGCTCTTTCCTTTCTTATCTGGCCAATTAATTTCAACCAGTCTGAATCCAATGCCACTACAATCTATAACAAAACCTTACTTTCTACTTAAGGCACAAAATATCTTCATCACTTGGTGGTGAAATGTAATGAAGTAGATCTCTTACTCAGGATTATGACATATCTAAATTATTGGCTGTAAAGTTAATGCTATGAAAGCAAAATCCTTCATAGTGAATATTTTCTCAAATAGTCTGACACAGAAGGCTCTCAGTGGAAACCTCTCACACATCACTGCTCACCGATGCTGAAGACAGATAGCTGGGACATCATCGGAACTTTATATACATTTCCGTCGCCCCCGTTGAAGGGCCTCATCTTGGTGTTCTCGGGCTGGAAGCGAGACTTCCATAAGCCTTTGAAGTAGATTGAGTTGACAGCGACCAGACGGGTCAGAGCGGAGTCCAGCATGTCTGCTTTGATCAGGCTGGGGATGTGACCTGGATAAATATGCAACATGGGAACATTATTCAATCAGAAATGTTTGATTAAAAAAACCAACCATCACTTTCATATTCACTGGAGCACAGACAAGGAAGTATTAATGCAGCATCATATCAGGACACGTCGATATACGCAGTAGGAAACTGATCACATTACAGAGTCGAGGCTTTCTACTGTGGTCTGTTCAGTGGTGGGTTGAATATGTGTTTGCCTCTGATGTATGATATATAAATAGACTTGCAGGTAAGTATACAGCGGCCCACACACCCCTTGAAACTCTGAACACTCCACCCTAGGGGGATCGGAAAGCTGAATGAGGCTTCAACAGGCGGACAACAAGAACTGTCACATCTGTTTCCATATCAACCATTCTCAATAAATTTGGCTGTGATGAATTTACTCTTAGTTTGAGTTCTCTCAACAATGTAAAAAGGTACATTCTGAAAAACGTAACTGCCTGCAACTATAAACTTTGATCATCATAACTGTGTCAAATACATCCTCACATCTGCCTTTATAAGGACTCTTACAGAATGTTCCATCTTGTGTGTGCAGCTGTTTACATTTGTCCATGACTCCTACCTTTGGTCTTATTGTTGACCCATTCATTGATTTCATCTGCTGCCACCTGGGGGTTGCTGAAGTCCAGGCTCCTGCTCTCACATTGGAAGTTGGCTTTGTTGGTGGATACAAAGGCCTCCTCCATGGGGAAGCCCTCCTGGCTGAACATGGCGTTGGCGATAAGCACGACGTCCTGGTTGGACTTAGCTGTCAAGTTCTTGTGCAGCTTCTTCAACATCTTGTAGGGGCCTGTGCGGATCATGTAAACTCTGAATTATTTTTTAGTTTACTGCTTAGGATTTAAATGTCCAAATATGTGGAGGATTTTCTGACTTCAGCTCCTAAGGAGAGACAATTTACTGTAAAACTTTAATTGAAAGTTCATATTAAATGCCCAGTCTCTTTTACTAGCCTGGTGTAGCTACACAAATCAATGTCTGTCTCAAATAGAGGCCTGGTCTGGTTGCCAAGAAGTTTATTTTTATAGAAGTTCTTTGGATGTATAAAACCAGATTTTTGACTACCCACTTGACCTTAGGTTAGTTAGCTGTTTAAGATGCACATACACATATGTCAATATGGACATGCTACACATCGTTAGTATGGTTCATTTCATTTTACTGAAACCATGAGCACCAGAGAAGATCGTAAGTCTTTCAGATTTCACAGCATGACGAAAAAACAAGTGGTGACTCCCTTCCTCTATAGATGTCATTAAGTCAGCATACATGTCCTTTACTCAGTTACCTGGTAAGTTATTAATATTTCTTTAGTCCGTAAGGGTCCACGGATCAAAAGACTCAAAAGTGTTTTTCACAACAAGATAAAGTAGTGTGGTGTTGGTATGCCAGGTGCTGTAAAACAAGTGTCATAACGTAACACACAACAAATATGTTATTTGAAGCCTAAGTAATATCCATACTGATTCAAACAAACGATTTGATCATATTTTGAGTAAAGGGAATTAAAGGCCTGTCCCAAATATAGGCCTGTTGAATTCAGCAATTTAAGCAAATAGTAGCCAGGCTAGTAATTGAAGTTTTACAGTATGATTTTGTAATTCTACACACAACTGGCATCTAATTTTCATCAGTGCAACTCTCGCTAGTACCTGAACTTCTCTTGCCTTACCGTTTTTCTTGTAACGGAGAGCACTGAGGATCTGCTTCCGAGTATCGCCATGAGCTCCTGGTAGCAACATGCCCAGGATGGAAGCGACCCCATGGGGCGAAAGCACCACATTTTCCAGGGGCTTCGATTGGACTACTTGCTGAAACACCTGTATGCCAAGATCAGAGCCACGTTCACCGTAGGTGGGAGCCTGGGACTGCACGACCTCATGGCCATACAAGGCCACCAGTGCGTACAGGCAGAGTAATGAGAGGTGCTTCATCTTCAACACCACAGCACCTGGTAAGAAACAAAGAACAGATTGGATGCATTGTGTAGCAACAACCATGCCAGTCTCATCCGTTGATTTCATACAGTAGACACACGGATTACTGGTGGCATGTATTATTTATCTCTGAGCATTATCAATATTTCATCATGAGACCTGAACAACCACAGACATCAATCTATAACAATAGACATTCCTTAAAATCATCTCCATGACAGTTTGATATTCCTTTCTCATGACTCATCGAGGGTAACTACAATTATCACATCTACCATCACTTGCCGTTAAGCAATAAATCAGTTCATCCAGAGCTGCAAGATCTGACTAACTCTTACTCACAATGTCTAAATATTAGTCTAACCATAACCACCTCACTGAAACTGGGCTCTTCTTTCATTTTAATTTTAGACTGAATTAAATCTTTTGGGCCATTTTAGGAAGATGATTCAGCCTGCACCCCACTCACAAAAGCAGAATGAATGCAGCCACAGGAGCCAGCCAGAATGCCCGCTGGCTTGCATGCTTAGAGAGACGTAATACATGTATGTGATTAACTGGAGGCCTACATATACTTGCTGGTGACCGTTCTTTATTGTTCCAGAGTTGCAAAGTGAGCTGTGCAAAAGTTTAGGTTAGTGTGTAGCCGTGTCGTGGTTTAGTTGCTGATTAGATTTGCAGCTGAATCTGAGATCGTTCTCACAAGCTTTGGAAAAGGCAGTGACACAGCCTCGACATGCAGTTTGTTCTAAGGTGAAACAAGATCTTTTTACAAAAATCTAACAAGTTGATGGTCTTTTGACACAAAGACTTGAGATCCCTAGCTTGATATATTGCAAGCTTTTTGTACGCAATGATCTATATGCCATTGTCAGGTTTTATTTTAGCTGTAATCATGTGAAGCTGCCCCTTTTGTGCTTTTATGGTTCACTTACAGCATATGATAACATGCTTTTTGGCTTGTCTTTGTAGCAGTCTCATTTGGAGTTTTGTATAGCTTGTTTTAGAGCTGTAAATGTTTCATTTTTGTTCTATGTTGCAGCCTGTCTTGGCCACGACACTGGTGAAAATGAGATTTTTAATCTCAAGAGGACTTTCTGATCAAAAA